GGTTTTAATACTATTTAATACTATTTTGTACCCTAACAAATGATAGAAAGCCAATAAAAACGTAAGATGATTCAATAATCACTGCTCAAAATAGGCTCATTTCCAATGTTTAAGTTGTGATTTTTGAATCATTTTGGCACCAATAACAATTTCAGATAAGACATTTTATTCCTTACATGCATTATAGTCACCATATCAATTTTGGCGTCTTTGTGAATAGTACTTTTCAGATTATCTAGTGTTGATTCATCTTGCATTTCTAATTGTGTGATTTTTGAATCATTGGCACACAAATAACGATAACTCCTGTGATATAAGCACTACAGACTCCGTGATTTCAGGATCACGAAATTTAATCGAATTTCTAAAGGTATAGATAGATATATCAACCAACAAAGAGCAATGACCATTTTTAAAACTCATTTAAAAAAAATCAATCTCTAGTGCCACCTTTTTTTGAACGTGTCCACTTGGAATCTATCTGGTATGGTAGAAGGACACATGTACTAACATTTCCAGCCACTTAGACTTGCAAAATACTCCCCTGGTTCATGGAATGAATGAAATGAACACAAAATGAACATTTTCCTAGAATCCCCTGAATTGGGCTAAAACCAATTGGAATCGGTCGGTATTGATACCAGGAGTGTCCCTGAGAAGTTTGGTGTGCCTAGCATGTTCAAAAAGGGCTCTGGGGCAATGTTTCTATTTTGGTTTCAGAGTAGTTGAGATGGTGGAAACAATTGACACAAATTTAGAAACATGCTTTTTAGCGGTAATTATGCCTGGACTGGCATGGAATCGATATGGTATGGTAGAGGGGCATATTGTTTACTAACATGTTCAGCAACTCAGAAGTTTTTTTCTTTGAAATTTAATACTCCACCGAAGGGATAGGGTGCGTCAAGAATCATCCAGTTTCACATCGAAAGCACTATTTTCACACATCAAATTGTGACATTTTTTGTTCAACTTTTAAAAAACCTTTTTAGTGCAAAATGATCCCCTGGTTCATGAAATGAACAAAAATGAACTTTACCCTAAAATCGCCTAAACTGAGTTGAAGGCGATCAGAATCGATTGGTATCGATACCAGGAGTGTCCTTGAAAAGTTTGGTGGCCCTAGCATCCTCAGAAAAGGCTTTGTGGGCAATGTTCCATTTTGGTTTCAGAGAAGTTGGGATTCTGGAACAGAATTGAGACAAATTTGGAACAGGCTTTTTGGGCAGTAATTATGCCTTGGCTGACTTAAAATCGATCTGGTATGGTGGAGGGGTATATTAACTACATTTTTGGGTGTTTTCAAATTAAAGATTTCAAAGCCAGATTTTCGGCTTAAGTTGGCTGGGACATGCCCAAATTGTATATGCTTTGATCGTGATCGGGTTTTCAAAAATAAACGATTTACCTTTCGCATATGATGGACTTTTTCCCGAAGAAGGTGGGTATTTTATCCTTGTAGTTTTCCAGAGAAGGACGTAGTCTTTTCCACATCTCTGTCATCAGTGAAGTCCTCTCGATTAAACGGTACCTTTTTGGCACTCCTGAGATAATTGACTGTCTTATACACAATGGTTTTACCGTTTACAACATTTGCAGTAATATTTATTACCGAATTTAATTAGAATTTAACCCATACATTTTAAACACATGAACTGCTGTATCAGTAACCATCAAAATAGAGACAAACCTATGAATTTGATGTTTATCTTGTTAAGTGGGAGGTTAACCTCTTCTTGACACAAAATACCCAGTCGTCTCCTGAGATCTCCGACATGACAGAGGAAGCTACTGTCGAGTTCGATATTACAGCTAACCTAAGATAGTCAAACTGAGTGGGATCAATTTTAAGCATTACAAATCAGCAGTTGTCAAGCAAATGTGATGAAAGAGCCATTATTGAAATGTAAGGCAGATCTAGAGCTAGGAATGTGTTTCGGGGCATCAAAGAATAAGTATCTGTGTACTGTTCTTTACCATACCATTTAAACGATTTAATACATGGAAGTATCACAATAATATACTTTTTCAAAAACATAAACACATTTAAAAAAGGCTCGAATGGGTTATCGATATTTCCATATAATGCAGGATTGAAATAATCTGTTTAGGAGTAATACGTTCAAATTCGATCCTGATCTACAAAAGTGTAACATGATAGCAAAATCCGCTGTGCTTTTCTATACTAGAACAAGTTTTAGTAGTCTCCAGCACATCACAGCTTAAAGGCAGTAACACTAAATCGATTACATTAAATAACCTCTCAAGATCATTTAGTAATATCTGTATTTCAATGTGCAACGAAACAGCTTCTATACTACTTTACTACTTCTATACTACTTTACTATCAACTAGATATACGGTTTGAGCATTGAAGCTCTATGCTGTGAGCAGCAACGAAAAGAGATGGGATTGCAATATATCGACTCACTTGTGAAAATAATGATTAAATCTCAAATCTCACTTGTTCAGAACAATTACGATTTCTAACTGCGCGGCGTAGTGCGTACTTTGAAATCCAAATAAAAATTATTTTTGATCAAAATATTGGAAAACAAAATTACAACATGATTCAAATCTTGTGTAAAAAAATGTGATAAACAATATGCTGTTAAAAACTTTCGTGAAAAATTTTAAAAAGCATGATTTCCACCCGATTATGTGAAGTTATCATTTTTATGACTTTTACAGGTTATAATTTTTGTCAAGAGCTTAGCCATTTGTCAAAATTTAGGTCATGGTATCATGTTATGTGACTATACAATGAGATTATAATCCGTTGATGTATAATATCTTGGAGTTTATCAGGGGATAAAATTATTTGTAGGTTTATAAACTACCAAAACGCGCGCTGGGTTGGACTCGTTGTATAATAATAATGTATAACTATCAATACATGATACACGATAACGTAAAACTATATAAATCGATAACATATAAGATCAAATAAACCATATGGTACCAAGTTACATTAATTGATGAAATCTTTCCATGTTTTAGAATGAAAATCCATATTACACAAATATTCCTAGCTTTAAGTATGACACACATTATTACATGATAACGAATTGATTTAACGCGCATATGCAAAATATATTGTAATTGTATAAGAATCGACCTTGTTTTTAAAGATTAGTCATTTAAAGTATCGATGAGAAAATCCCAGTACAAATAGCTTATACTTATAATCCGATAATTTATGTTGTATGATGCAATGAAAATACTCATACCGCGCGCGCAGCTTGAACTACGACATACGCAAGCGTTCAGTTGCAAATTATAAGGTCTACCGAAGTTTGTAGGGCGCGAAAAATTTTATGTTGACGTGCTCGCGCATTCTGAGTAGTCAGCTCGCGTTGGGTATGCGCCAACTTTTTTTGTAAGTCTATACTGTCCATTGTTAATTGACTAGCCCGGCGTGCGCTAATTCGTAGCACTTGTCTCGGGTTGATACATGTTACGTATCACAAATATCAGAGATATCAGGATCATCTCTGCGCGGCGTCAGTAAAATTAGAAGTTCGCGCAAAAATAGTTTTATTTTCCTGGCGCTTTGTTCTCGCGTCGGGAGTGAATCACTAATTAGCTCACTACTTAGCTCACTACTTAACTCTCAAGCCTTCGGCGGCGCGCGCTTCGCTCGCGAAAAGTGGCGTGCAACGTATGTCAAGTTTCGGGCAATAAAATAAAAAAGCGCTATTTCGAAAAAATTTAAACGAGTAACATCCGTAAAATTTTATAAATCAGCTTACCAATTTTTGTTAAGATCGGATTGAGGGAAGGTTACCAAATATAAATTTGTTTCAAAAATTTTGTGCTGGCCGAAGTTAGCGCTAAAAAACTAACCTTAATTACCTACTGTCGGCACGCGCGGCTCACTGTCGATATTACCTGGGGACCCCAGGCTATTATGTTCATAAACATAATAAATCCGCCGAATAATGATTCGGCGGAATGACAGGCTGAGCGCTGCCCAGTAATGTCGATACAATGTCGCATCACCTACTACGAGGCTATGGAAAAAGGACAAAAATATGAAACTCATCTATCAGAAGTCTCTTACAACCACTCATCCCTGCACCTATATAAAGCACTGGTTGACCTTATATTAGGAAACTCAAACCGGAGCTGGAGGCGATTTTTAACACAATGAATACTGTGTTGAATGGCTTAGTATAGAAGTTTTGTGAATTTTAATTAGTTGTACAAACTCAAGATCAATTAAAAAAGCAACTGACCTTTGGATTTCAGAGGTCATGTTTCTTTTAACAGGCTGCTTATTATGTCCTGTACTGGTATGGCATACTAGTTAAGTTCGAGAGTTATCCTGTGGTGGAGGTAAGGGATCATGTATCATGGCCCTCCACATGACATATGTTCCCCTCAAAGTTCTCCTGTGCCTTGGGTAATGGTTTGAAAACTTATTCTTGTCCTGTTTGTTTTCTAGCTGTAGACACTATTGCTGTTTCAAAGACATAGACCTTTTTTGTTTCGTCGAGGGAATCTCACCTTTCGCAGAATCTTTGGACAGGGATGTATGTGAAAACTGAAACTCCTACGATAATGTGACTGCACTTGTTATTGTAGGGCTGTTTTCTACACCGGTTACCTTGCTATACCAGACCTCTTCTTTTCCTGCAAACTTTAAGTTAATTAGCTTGTTTTGAGCACGATTATCATATTTGATTGTTTAAAGTTCAAAAAATATTGGTAACAATGAACCATTTCCATTACTTTTGTATTATGCTCTGCCAATTTGATGGCAATTTTTGATTTAATGAACTTTTCCCGTTTAAAATATGGATTATCATACCTCATATTGCCTTTCATCTTTTTGCAAGGTTTTTCTTTGTATTCCACGCATTTTTCATTTTCTTAAGGGGCCTGGTATAGAGAGATCTGACTGTAGTTTATTAGGTCCATTAGGTGAGACCATGTCGTTGTATTAATTGCAATTGCAATAATGTTTCTTAAATATTTAACAAAATTGAACTCCTTTTAGCATGACAACGGCAACTGAAGCTAGCAGACCCGTCAATGCTGAACAACATTCACCCCCAAAAGTGATTAAATCGATTATTTGCTATTGATAGCTGATATGCTTTTTGATTATGATAGTTATTTTGACAGTAATTAATAAAGTATTAATGCATGTCTTTGTGTAACGCCATGCTTTTTATTCAACTTATTTTTCTTCAGGGAGGTGTGTTATGGGAAACACTAAGGTCTCTTTTGTTCATCTCTGGAACAGCAATACTGACAACTATTGCTGTTAAGAACTCTGTTAATCCATACATAGACAAAATATGGGGAGCTTCACATGACTTTTGGGGTTCTCTCTGGACCTCTATTTACGAGCTGTTTGGCAGAAACGACTTTCTTGTCCATTTTATTGGTTGGTTTTATTCAATATTGTAGTTTAGACAATCATGTCTCAATATGCTGCATAAATCCTAGATGTGTAATCAATTGCTGATATGATGGCTTATCAATCACAAAGAATATAATGTGATTCTACCCACATAGGTTCAAAATATTTTCTTTACTCACTGTGCAATTTAACAAATAACATTCTGTTTTGAACTTTTTTCAACACAAAATCCCAACCTGTTCACTTTCATTTTCTAGGGTCTGGACTTAATGGTATTATATGCTTCACCGTATTCAATGCTCTCTTTCTGTTGTGTGACATCACAGGACACCCAACTTGGTTGCTGAAGTACAAAGTTCAGGATGCAAAGAATCAACCTGTAAGTTAGCATATTACTGGATAGTCAAAAACTATGCAGTTTGAAATACAGTATTAATACATTATTAATTAATAAGGTATTGTTAAATCAAAGCAAAAACTTTACCACTTAGTCAAACAAAATAATATTTTTTGTTTTCTCAAGGCAGAGATAATCACACGTAGGATAGCTCTATTCATCAATTAATACATTACCATGAATGTTCCAAGGTCGATAGAAAAAGACTATGGAGTTGCATCAGAACTGCTGCTTTCAACCTTGGAGTTGTCAGTCCAGTCTTTACTTTGGTGTTCTACAAGGCATCGCAGTGGAATGGATCATACCATAAGGGCGATCTCCCAACTTTCAACCGATTTCTCCTTGAGTTCCTGGTCTTTAACATTGTTGAGGAAATATTCTTTTACTACAGTCACAGGTAAAACAGACTTTTGTGCACCATCTTGTGTTTCCCGATAGCCTGTCTTGTCTTTGCGTTCAGATTGAGTAAGTCATGCACTGTTAGACATCTTCTATCAAAGCTTACTCTTCCAGGATCTTGCATCACCCCAAGTTGTACGCTCGATTCCACAAGAAGCACCACGAATGGACAGCCCCAATTGGTATAACTTCAATTTACTGTACCCCGCTGGAGATGGTAGTATCGAACTTGTTCCCTATTGCTCTTGGACCTTTCCTCATGCAATCGCATCTCTTTGTGACCTGGATTTGGTGAGTTTTGGAAATTAAACTGTAACTGAAGTAGCTATCTTACCAAATTTACTGTCCAAACTGCCCTCTGCAGCTAAAGTTCTGCATGATTATTCAACTATAATCTATCTAATCAGGTTTGGATTGGTGCTGTTCTCTACGACATTGGCCCACGGTGGATATCATGTTCCCTTCCTCTTCTCTCCTGAAGCTCACGACTACCACCACAAAGTGTAAGTTAAACAACTTATATTGTGCTTCTAGTGTGCCTCATGTGTGTTCACCCTCATAAACTAAAATGTTGTATAATACAGCCAGTCATTAAAGTAGTGATCAATGATTTCACTGATATCAAAACTTCAAGGTTCAACTGTCTGTACGGAACACTGGGAATCCTGGATAAGCTCCACAAGACAGACAAGCCCTTCGCTGGTAGCGTCCACGAGAAACGTCACTACATCTCCTACAGCCTCACTCCAATCAAGCAGATACACCCCGAACCGGTGAGAGGCGGTGGAAAAGCTGGTAAATCTGGCAAAGCTGAGTGAAGACCTGAATTTGGAATCCTAAGTGGAACTGCGGAATTGAAGATTTTGGAATTTTGAACTATGAACTGTGAACTGTAAACTGTAAACTGTAAACTGTGAACTGTTTGTTTTACATTTTGTGTATACGTTATTCTGTGTTGTGTTTGTACAGACAGCTATTTCGGAAAGAAGAAAATTTTGAGTTTTTTAGGTAAGATTTATTATTAGATTTATTATATTTGTTATGATTAGTGAATTAGAAGCTTCAAACCGAACCCTTTTTGCCAGATATCGAGAGCTCTATTATATCGTTAAACTATGTATAATTACTTATTAGTATGAAGGATACATTATATTATATCGTATAAATATAATAAAGTTTAACAAGATTTTGCTGATCATGCAATTGTAATTCTAGATTTTATTGTGTGCTATAAGCTTTCTGCATAGTTCATGATTACTGTGTACAAAGTAGTTATATAAAGAAGTATAAAAGAATAGATTTAACGTTATCAGTTTTATTGATAAATTGCATGTATGATGTATCATCCATTTTTAATGATTGATTCGCTAGTACAGAAGGTATAAAATAAAGGTTATCCCAGAATAAGCCTCATGTAAATGTACGAAGGGCGAAGGCTGTGGTCAATTATGTAGCAGTGAGGTCAAAGTGATTTTGGATTTAATTTCGGACCACTCTGTATCATATCAGAAATTAGTTGATTGCAGTAATTTAAAATTAGTCTTAAATGAAATTGTTTAATTAGTTACGTCATAGAAAATATAAAACTTGTGTTTTCTAGTATAGGTGAATATTTAATATTTGATTTGTGTCTTTAAATTAAAATAATTGTGCTGCTGATTTTATAAAATGTGATTCTATCTATGTTAATTTCAAAATGTTTTATGTCATCTGATAAAAATTTACATAACTGCGTTTATCACTGCTTATCCGACTTACAGAATCTTTTAAATTAAACTGCAAACACTATATCAAAATATCAAATCTGACACAACGAACTATCATGTCTGGTACTTTAATTTAAGCCATCATAAAAAATCAGTCAAGACCTTGAAAGAAAATTTTCATTACTGAAAGTGTATTTTCAGGTGATATGATCCTAGTTTAGGCATTTTAATGGAATAGAATCTCAAAAGATAGCTCATAGTTGCTTTAAGATCCTCGAAATGTAACTCTGGGTGAACAGTAGATCTAATTAAAATTATGGTATGAAACACAAGCGGTTGCTCTCACCTGTGTCGGACCTCTCTGCTATCAGGTTCAAACTAAACAAGAACAGTATTAGGCGGGCCCCTGTTCTCAGTAAGAATGTAAAAACCACATTTGAAAACAGAGATCATAGCGATGAGGTCGTTAAAAGATCCGAGGAGCTCTCTGCTAAGCCGGTATGTGCTCCTAGAAATGACATTGTGTTCAAAGTTAATTGTGATAATAACGATGTTAGATACAATACATTTGGTATTCAGATGATTGCATCCTCTCTGCATAAAAAACTGTTTTCTCAACCTAGTCCGAAACTCGATGACAAAGTGAAGGGTCAGTGTCATGCCCAGCTCAAGTTGTTTGGACTAAATGAAGGAAAACGACCAGTCACCCGTTCTATTGACATTTCGCTGCCGGATAGTATGTCAAATCTTCCCGAATTTTTCACTGGAATTGCGGAAGATCAGCTCAAACCATACACAGACTTCATTGAGCAGATTGTTGATACTCCAGTTCTCCCCAAACTACCAACTGAGTGGAAGAGATGTCCGGGTTGGACTAAATACGGTAAAGATGGACCTGTTTCCGTCCCCTTTCCACAATGCAGTGGTTTAGTCTTTGATGTTGAAGTTTGCATACAAAATGGAAATAATCTACCCGCATTGGCTGTGGCATTTTCTCCAGAGTTCGTCTATAGTTGGGTCAGTCCTGCTCTTGACAAGCCATGGCTCTACAATCGAGCTCCAAGCACGGATCTGCTGATCCCTCTTGGAAATCAGCCAAAAATTGTCGTAGGACACCATATCATGTATGATCGGGCTCGAATCGCAGAAGAGTATTCTGAACAAAGGTCAACTCTAAGATTTTTAGATACACAAAGTCTTCACGTGTGTGTTTCAGGACTCGAGAATACTCAGAAGGGTCAATGGCTCGCAGCTAACTCACGAAACGAAACACTGGACAAGGACTGGATGAAAGTTGGATCTCCAAATTCTCTGGCTGCAGTCCATAAACTTTATTGTGGCAGTGATCTTGATAAGAGCACACGTGATGTTTTTGTTACGGGAACCCATGCTGATATTCAAGCTCAGTTTCAGAGTCTAACGGCATATTGTGCAAGTGATGTTGTTGCTACTTACAACGTTCTGAAAGAAGTTTGGGGTTTGTATAGGGAGAGGTTTCCTTCTCCAGTCACACTGGCTGGGATGTTTGAGATGGCGTCCTGCTTCATTCCAACTAACAAAAACTGGCACAGATACACCAATGAAGCAGATAATATGTTTTACACCATGCAGAGAGAAATTCAACACGTTTTATCAAACTTAGCAGACGATGCACTGCTGAGGTATCATCTGGATAAGAAGAGAACAGAATCCGACCCTTGGATGTTCAACTGAACTGGTCCACTAAGAAAATCTTCGGTGTGAAAAACAAGAAACTCTCAAAAAAACTGCAGGCCGAGGAAGATTTACAGCGCAATGAGGAACTTGAAAATCCATCGCCCGCCTCCATATCAGACGTGATCAACACCGTGTGTAGTGGAACAGCTGAGAAACCTAAACACTACCTTGGAGCTCCAGAGTGGTACAGAGCACTTTGCCCCAAAGCAAGCACCTATCATGACATCAGCTGGACACGAGGTCCTAGCGAAATATCGCTGTCTACATCAATCGCCCCAATGCTGTTAAAACTAGCTTGTCATGGACACACTCTTTACCGTACTCACCATCATGGATGGGGTTTTCTTGAACCAAAATCAATAGATGAGGCTAGACTTGATCAAAGTCTTGTTAGATCGTTCTTTCCTGATGTAACAATCTTAGATCCAATTCCTGATGAAGTTGGTCTTGTGATCGAAAGAGATGCTATCCGTAACGAAGAATATTCAACAAGACTTGAGAACATCAAGGATCAGATTCCTCTCATCACAAAGATTGATAATCCTCCTTGCATGTTTATTCAACACAATTTCAAAAAGCTGTCACTGAATGCATCTCATGTTGGGAATGTGGGATCCCCGTTAGGTAAAGGCTTTACTGTTAGCATTGAGAGCGGAGTGATATCAAGCTCTGGAGGTTGGGATGCTGAGCAAGTCTTAACCCTCGGGACCGGACTTACTTCTTGGCGGAACACACGGAACAGAATCCGCTCCCAATTTGTCGTGGAGTTACAAGAGTCAGACCTTATCAACAAAGAAGCGATAAGTAAGGCAAGTGAGGAAAAACTGGGTGCAATATTGCCACAAGTTACACCTGCTGGTACCATAACAAGACGAGCCACAGAGACACTCTGGCTAACAGCCAGCAACGTCCGTCCGGACAGAGTAGGGAGTGAGTTTAAGGGGGTAGTTACTCCTTTTCCTGGTTATTGCTTTGTGGGGGCAGATGTGGACAGTCAGGAGCTGTGGATTGCCTCTCTGATTGGAGACAGCACGTTCGGGGAGCACGGTGCTACACCGCTGGGCTGGATGGCACTGCAAGGTCAGAAGTCCGATGGAACCGACATGCACAGCAAGACAGCTGCTGAACTGTCCCAAGGAAGGCCTGGTCTGGTGTCCCGTAACTTGGCAAAAGCCTTCAACTATGCCAGGATTTATGGTTCTGGGAAAGGGCTGGCAAGGAACATGTTGAAAGACTGCTGCCAGGATCTCTCTGAAAACGAAATTTGGCAGAGTATTGACAAGATGTTCGCCAGCACAAAAGGTAACGAGCTGCACCAACTCACTAATCTTGGTAAACGACAGGCTCTTCTACACGGGATGCATGTTGAAGAACTTTCTTCTGCTGATATTACAAATTTGTCAGCAATCACGGGATACAATCGATTTCAACTGAGCAAAGCTCGTACGTCCAGGTACGCAGGAGGGTCAGAGTCGGCTATGTTCAACAAACTAGAGGAGATAGCCAGGTCAGAGCACCCTGCCACACCCTTCCTTAAGTGTAGGATAACCAGAACTCTAGAACCCAGTGTTATCCAGAAATCCTACCAGCTGAACAGTAGAATTAACTGGGTAGTACAGTCCAGTGCGGTAGACTTTCTCCAGCTGCTGCTCGTCACCATGAAATGGTTGATGAGCGAGTACAATATTCCTGGCAGGTTTGCTCTCAGTATTCACGATGAAGTCCGGTTTCACGTTCCTCTTGAATACAAATACGAAGCAGCACTGGCTCTACAGATAGCGAACCTGCTCACTAGATCCTTCTTTTCCGCTCAGCTGGGTATTCATGATCTGCCCAATAATGTGGCGTTCTTCAGTGGTGTAGACATTGATCGTTCTCTGAGGAAGAGTGTGAAGGATGAGTGTGTTACTCCCTCTAATCCTCACGGTTTGTCAGTGTCGTATGGCATCGAACCAGGGGAAGAACTAGATATATTTACTCTTTTGGATAGGGTTAATGTTTTAAAGGCTCGTAAAGAACTGCCTACTTAATTACAGTACTGATGAGCTAAATTATTTGTTATTATCATGAAGATTGAATATTATTTTCTTATATAATCTTATATATTTGCTAACTATTACTCTATTATTTGATTAAATTTGCAATCTCATTTTTATCACATATCTCTATCGTAGATCCTGCTGACATAATATGAAAGTTATTGAATAAATACCTGATAACTTATTTATTGTTTAATCTTTTAATTTTATAAAGATTTTATTTTCATTTTAAAACATTTTATTAGCTTACGTGTTTTCTTGTTACCTACTACATTGACTAGTACAATTGTGTCTTAGTATCTACAAGAAACAATGATAAATACGATTAAAAATATAAATCTGCACTCTTTTACTTATATTACTCCTCATTTTGTCGTACATTCGAAGTAGATTATTAACAAAGCATGATGAGTCTTAGATAATATCACAAATATTTTAACTTTATGACTTCATTAGTATTTTAAGTATCAAAAGGAAATGGAGTTTTCCCGCATAAAGCTGATATGGGACACCAACCTAGCTGGGATACTGATCCTACTCAGCTCTGCTCTGTTTCAAGTGTGGCTCTCATTCTGTGACCAAACCAGGTTATCACTTTATCAATTATACATAAGGTGTGACATCATAATACATTACATTATACTTTATCTGTTATCATAATGTTGTTATGCAATTCCAAGTGGAAGTATACGTATTACATAACATATTATGTCAGTTTTGTATTTATGTATGTAACATAGTGACCATCACATGGTTTGCTTTTCAGTTTTCACACTCATCAGTATTCCTGGATTCTGCTGGAATGACACAGCTAAATTTCAGTGTGACATGGCAGATGATGGACTCATTGAAAGACGCTGCTGAGCAGATCTGGAGAATGATATGGAAGGATTTGTTTAATGAGAACAGCTTCCTGATCCAAACTGTGGGGACCACTATTTGGGGAGTGCTATGTTGGCTGTCACTTAATTCTTTCTTTTTGGTAGTTGACTATACTGGCCGTCCACAGTGGCTGTACAAGTATAAGATTCAAGAGGAAAAGAACAATCCTGTAAGTGGCTAATATCTTCTGAATTAATATTTGAATTTTTAAATGTCGTCATGACCATTGCTGAACTTGATTTATCTATTTATTTATTTTGGCACAATCTTTTAAACCTCTAATTCCAACTGCAGGCAGACAGAAAGAAAGTTCTGGGTACATTTAAAACGGCACTCTACAACATTTCAGTGCTAAACTTTGTGGTTCTGACTGTAATATATTACCCGAACACGAGATGGTTGGGCTCACTCCGATCCACTGGTCTGTTACCCACATTTGGGGAACTTGTTCTTCAGATCTGGGCATTTAAGATCATGGAAGAGTTTGGCAATTACTACGGACATAGGTTAGTGCTTCTATACAATTAATTCCGCTGGGTGTGTCCATTGTCCACTGTGCAGTATCTTTTACTTGTTTTTGCTATATTTATTTCTTCCCTGAACATAAAGAAATATTATATTGTAATGGTATAAATTGTCTATAATACAGATTCTGTCCTTATTGCTCCAGATCATATATTTTCTCCTTATGCAGGATACTACACATGCCTCAGTTCTACAAATACCATAAGAAGCATCACGAATGGACGGCCCCCATGAGTATCGTATCGTCTCACTGTGGAACTGTTGAGCATATCCTTGGAAACATCCTCCCAGTAGCAGCAGGTCCTTACATCTTCAGGTCTCATCTCTTTGTGGGATGGATTTGGTAAGCAGCTAGTATTGTATTATGGCAAGGAACATGGTAGTATGCTTACAAATGCGTCTAGTTCTGGTAATGAAGTAATGACCTTTAGGCTAAATTGTAGCCCTATTTTATAACACCAAAGTGAATTTGTTCCTCATACTCATACTCTTCTTACTTTTTAGGTCACTCTTGGTACTGTTTAACACAACTGTAGAGCACAGCGCGAGCGGATATCACCTTCCTCTCCTCTACAGTGCTGAGGGACACGACTATCATCACAAAACGTTAGAGATCAATAATTGGATTTCATGTATTTTATTCCCTATCAATAATCTGTATTACAATCTATATTACTAATATTGGGTTCGTACTTCGTAGCCTTGAAAACCAGTAACGTTGATTTTACCAGTTACCAGTTATCAGTTACCAGTTACCAGTTACCAGTTACCAGTTACCAGTTACCAGTTATCACCGAAATTACTATTTCCCCAGGTTCACATCTTGGTACGGTACAATGGCATTTCTAGACGTCCTACATGGTACAGATAAACCCTTCAGTGGCACAGTTGATGGGAAGAGACACTTCATATCCTGTACTCTGACACCTGTGAATGAAACTGTTTCTGATAGAGAAGATAGTTGCAAGGTGGAATGACGGGATTGAATCTAATGGTCTATTTTCAAGGAAAAATGTCTCTTAAGACTACACTTTTACACATAAAAGCACAATTTATGTGTTTTTCGAGAAGTTTTTCATATCCATTTTAATTTTAATTTCTTATTGTTCATAATGATAATGACATTAATAATTTTTTAAACATATTATGTATATTGAAGTCTATATGTAATGTACAGACTACAGATATTTATTATTTTAGATATATTTTAATATAAACCTTGATCGCGATTATTGAATAAACATCCTTATATTTTTGAGCAAATTTTATTATAGTTTTAAAAACTTTATTTGATTTCAGTTTTAACTAATTTTATGCATTTAAATCATTTTCACATGGACATTCATAATTTTTGTAAATCTTTAAATGACAATGTTTCTGGTATTGCAGATTGAACCTAGTTTTGTGGTATGACATAACTTTCTTATACTTTTTAGATCTTTACCATATTATATCCAAGTTTACGCTGTAAGTAACTTTAAGTTAACCAATTTATAATAAAACGTGTCGTTATTGATGGATTTATTCATTTTACAATTGGGTTGGTAAATCGGGAACCTGTTGTATATTAGAGCCCAGATCCAATAATTACAATATTATAGCTAATATTAACTAGCTAGTTTATATAGTGTATAATTTTCTCATAATTTTCAGTCATAAGGAACCTATATGATGAAATAAAATTCAGATGTTCAATTTCCCTCCCCCTGAAGACAAATTTGTAACATGTGGACAATCTACAAAGCTTCAGTATTCAGCTTCACGAAGTCTTGGGTTTGGTAGCAATGGAACTTGTGTGTATGAAGGAACATTTGAAGGCGATCCTGTGGCTATAAAGCGAATTCCCAGACAAACGTTTACAGGATTAAAGGAAGAAATGCTTTCGAACATGGGAGAAGCAAACATTAATGAAGCTCAGATACTTCGGCAGCATGTCCATTCAAATGTCATCAGGTATCATCTTTTCGATCGTGATGATTTCTTCATTTTCTTGGCTCTCGAATTGTGCAAGGGAAATCTTGCAGAATATATCGAATATGGCAAGCCTGAACCATTACCCTCAGGAGATGGTAGAATCATCATGAAGAGTCATTTAGTACAGGGAATTCTTAATGGTATACACTATTTACACGGTTGCGATATCATTCATGGTGATATCAAACCTCAGAATATTCTTCTTCAAGACAACAAGTCTATTCAAGGACATAGCACCCATGAAATGAAGTTTAACCCAGTTATCTCAGATTTTGGACACAGCCTAAGAATAGACCCTGGAAGAAAGAGTAAAACTGCGATAGATTGTCTTATTGGAACTGAAGGGTGGAGGCCCATAGAAGTTGTTGTTAGGCTTGAAGAGATAAACTCCAGAAAGAATTCTGATGAGATGAGAGAAACAATAAAAGCCACAAAAGATGTCGACATTTTTGCTTTCGGATGCATCATTCAGTATGTGATGGCAGAAAAGGACGATGAGAAACCGAGAGTTTTTTATATGCATCCCTTTGGCAATGAAAGCTATCGAAATAATAATATAAAAAAAGGATCACGACTTGCCTATTTATCTAAAAGGTATCCACGAGTGCTTGACGGAATTTTAGCTGACTTACTGATAGGTATTTGTGTTGACACAAATCCTCAGGCCGACCTAATACAAAAGAAATAAAGGACCACCCTTTCTTCTGGAAACCAAGCGAAAGGTATTTATTCATCGAAAAAGTTGCTAATTCACTCAATTCAAGCGATGATTTATGTAAGCTGCTAGATGAAAAATGGAAAAAAATACATCCGAGGTCTTATGCAAAGGAGATAGAGAATGCTGTAAAATATACCAAGAAACGACGTGAAAAAGAACAACGTTATTTTGATACTAACAGATGTTTTTCCATATTATATGCTCTTCTCAAAGATATAAGAAACATTAAACAGCATTATGACGAGATTAAAAAAGATATTGGAAATGATGGTTTGGTATCCGATTTAGGTGAGGGCGCTGAGGACGATTTTGACCGCTACTTTCTTCAAAAAATTTTGCAGATTGTTCCAGTCGTTTACACGTGTCTATACACGATTCCACGAAAAGATATGAGAGCTTATAGAGCCTATTTTAGTGATAAGGAGGACTCGGGTTGTATTTATCTCCGTGAAAAAGTCTACTGGAATACACTTGACGTAATATTTCCCTGACTGGAAATCAAAAGGAAAACAAACCAAGAACTAGCTCACACACAACCTAAAACGTACAACGTGTAAACTGAATACAGCTGTACACAAGAGCTCACAATCGCTTGAAGGTTTCTGCAACCTGCCTGCGCTCATATAATACATCAATAACTCTAATTATTATCGGTGCCGGAAGCCCCTATCAAGTTGAATTCAAGAAACATTTTAAGTTTATTTTAGAAAATGAAATAGTGGTTTAATTCTTGTAAATTTTCAACCATTTAAATTATTGCAGAGAAATAATTTTGCCATAACTTTTTGCCATAACTTTTTGCCATAACTTTTTGCCATAACTTTTTGCATACAATTTTATTATTGGGTTGCTCTTTATCGTAATTTTAAACATATTATATAGTGCTTTATTTTCAAATATTTCAGTAATACAGACATGATACGGGTATCGGCCTTACAAAATGACACGAAAAAGGAGATGGCTCTGAAATGCACAAAAATGAGTTTTGTTCATGTTTTATTATCCAGATAGGTAGTTCAACAGGTATGTTTTTCTTCCCGGGGGTTGATTTGATTGAAAAACCGTAAATTTTGCGATAAAAATTGTCATCTTTGAAATCTTCCAAAAAAACATGCCTTACAAAATGACAATTTCGTCACGGCTGTCATTTTTTAACAGCAGCCTATAGAAATTTGATTTCACCTAGGACAGTTAGATAAATATAATAGATTGAAGATTAGAATAGCTTTTACAGGAAAAAGGATGATTAAAAAAAGTTGGGCAATTTCGCGTGAGATAGTGCCTTACAAAATGACAACCCAAAACGGCATCACTTCAAATCCGATTTGGGAAAAAGTTTCATTATTCTTTCACGTGTCTTACTGTTAGATATATATGTTGTTTATATTATACCAGTTCTGTTTTTACCAAAATATATTTAAAAAGGAACATTTTTTATACTTTGAAAAAATTTAAAAAATGTCATTTTGTGAGACGTAAAAATCATTTTTTGTTTTCATACTTGAACACAGTATTTGGTTATATTTGATATTTTCTATGACTGGAAAGATCACTTTTCAGTGTTTACTTAACGTTTGACATGTTTTAGGAGTTGTTATTACTCTCTGCTTTCACAAAATAGAAGCTTTATTTCGTTGAGTTTTGAAATCAGAGTTTGAAATCAAAGAGTTTGAAATCAAAGTTTTGATATCAGAATTTCACTTTTTTAATGTCACTTAATTGTTAACTGTCACATTATGATTATTTTTAACTCCTTCTTGTATTGACTGTCTCTGATCCATTTTAGATGATGAAAATAATTCAATCTGAAACATTGTCATTTTGTAAGGCTTTTCGGTGTCATTTTGTGAGGCATTTTGATCAAAATTGATGATCAAACAAACACATTTAGGCTCATCATGAGCTTACTGGGTTTAAGAATACCAATAATTAGGCAAGGGGCATCCAATATAAATATGCCATCTTTGTATCATAAAATAAAACTGTCATTTTGTGAGGCATAACACTGTCATTTTGTGAGGCTAGGTCATTTTTTTGTCATTTCTTCTACCAAAGTCACTAAATCAGTTTTTTTATTTGACCAGAGTAGTCTTTGATTGACATAAGTCATGGTAGTACCTGGTTTTCTGGGGTTAAATTCAAAACTTTGGTCTCCATTCTGGGTAACAGTTAGGTGGGGCAATGACTGAACAGCAAAAAAGTCCATATTTATGTAAGAAATATAGATTATATGTCATTATCATTCCTTGGGAAGTGTTAATTAATGCTTTTTCTTTCATACAGTAAAAGGAATAGGGTTCAATGTATAGGGAACCTAAGCTACAGCATGGTCTATGTGGGCTGTCATTTTGTGAGGCCTGTCATTTTGTAAGGCCGATACCCGTATCAAATTTATTTTACATTTCTTTTAAATAACATTGATTTCATTATTTTATTGTAAAATTATGATGTACTAGCAAAAACCGTTATCTTAAAAAATCCTTTTAGCATGTAAATTGAAATGAAGTATTTTGGTATTTTTGTTAAAATATGGTCCTTTTGCTCTTTTGATCTGGTTTTTTTCCTTCATCTAAAAAAATGTGAATGATAAAATTAGATTAGTCTGTTAGTCTGTGTCTCACTTTGTTTCATCATTAATTAATTACTATTTTTTAATTCCGTAAAACGACCTACGTGTTGATATTTTATTAACACAATATTATATATACATACTGTAACTTGAGCTACTCTTTTAAGATTATCTGCCTCAATTATTCCATGCTTAACCAATGGCCAATCACAAAAGATCGAAAAAATATTACCAAATAACAACCAACTAAAAATCTACTCCATACCCTTATAGCAATGACAAAGCAGGGAACGAAGCACTCTCGTTCAGTCCGGTGTACTTGCAGCTTTTGGACCACTGACAATTGTGTGCGGTTAAGGTTTCTCTCCGACTTGTACCGAAATTAGCAGCCTGGTATTTGAGCTATTTTATGCCGCTAGTATATAAATAATGCAGGGTGATTAAAAGAATGTTGGGATTTTAAATGGCCATAATTTATGAGATAAATCAATTAAATCCTTTTTTACATATAATTAGGGTATATTAGGGACAAGAGAAACGCCATTGTCGGACGTGAGGAGAGTGAGGACTCCTCAAACTACATTACATATAATATTCCTTCTGTAACGTCCTCAATAAATGCAATAGATTTGTAATATTGTAATTAGTTTAAAACTACATAGATTTAGAATAATACAATAAAAATACCTAATAATCAATAATTTGTTAAGGGGACTTGATGATAGACTAGATGGCAGTGATATCTATCAGCTGCTTTAAGTCCCATGGAAAAATATTGTCCTAGTCGATATTATCACCAGTCAAATGTCAGCATTGTATAATAGACACTGGTCATTAGAAATGTAGAAATACCCCTAAAAGTTCGTTTTTTGCAAAAAACTTTAAAACTTATAAATACCCCTAAAAGTTCGTTTTTTGACAAAATCTTTATAACTCCTGTAATTCCATTTCTGTTTTAGTTACGCATTTGATTTTTGGCATGCGTATAGAAAATTCGCTGGATCTATCTGGACAGATCCATACATCTTTGTGGGTCTCAACTAGCCTCAGTCTTCCTGTTTTCTTCAGAATCTGATGAACTGCTGTTGAACTTGGAACGGTGATCTTGACTGGTCGGATAGCCGACTCATGCTGCTTCGAAGTGAGGTTTCTCCCCGATCTCCTCCAAAACTGCGGTTACTAGCACTGGAAGCTGTTCTTCTTCCTCTTCTTTCAGCCAAACACAATCAGGTTCTTGCTCCTGTCCTCCTTTGCAGCCATGACACTCATCATCACCTTCTTCAGAATGTTACTGTTGCAGATCGTACCACTTGTACTGTTCTGTTGTACAGCTGCACTGTAGCTCTTAATCCCTGACTCCACCGTTGTTTGCACTGTCTTCTCAACCGATGTCTTAAGCAACTGTAATTGTTAGTCCTTCTGCACATTGCACAAGCAGCTGCCCCTGCAGCCTGATCACCTTTTCCTTGTCTGCTAACGCTGTCTATCTTAGATGAACTATAGACATGTGAAATATCATATGCCGATCTTAAAAGTTCTTCCTGTGACAATCGTCTTAAGTTAAATTGGGAAATGTGGTCCATCTCCTCATCTCGTGCGAACTTTCCTAATGACCTGGGTCAATATGTACACTAAAGTATCTGATTTGACTTTGCCTCTAAAAAATGCTAAATTTCAAACTGTAAACTTATGCATGAAATGCATATTTGTTCTTTTTTGGTCATATTGTTTATTCGTTCGACCAAAGAACAGCCCAAAATCACTCTAGTTACTTCAAAGAAATATCATAACTTGTTTAAAACGACTTGAATGCAATACATATACATTTGAAACATATTACTTCGAATTGAATTGAAATTGAGATCATTTAACTGCAAATTTAAATGATCTCAATTTAACTGTAAAGGGGATATTAAGTCTGAAAGTGGTTATTGCCAGCACTGTGATTGTAATGACCTTCTTTTCTACGAACCTCCGTGCTTAAAAATCACGATATGTTTCCGTTTCTCTCAACAAAAATAACTTTTCTTGTCACTTTGTCAGTACAAAATTTCCAGTCATATCACTTTTCCAAATGATCATAATGTTTTAATAATATTTAATTGTGATTCGTGATTTTGTAATTTCATTTTTCATTAGATTGGATATAGGGGGGGGTGTCACGTCCGTCTATGTCCGCTTGTCTCATAGAATCCAAAAAGGACAGGACATAGGCGGACATTGGCGGACATAGGCGGACATAGGCGGACATAGGCGGACATAGGCGGACATAGGCGGACATTGGCGGACATAGACGGACATTAGCGGACATTAATGGACACCTAAATTGCTAAATAAAATGTTCAATTTTTGCTGTTATAGGGGGATCATGTTTTTTGTCCGTTTGGTACCCTATATTTTCAAAACGGACAAAAAATAGAGCGGACAAAAACGGACAAAAACGGACAAAAATGGACGAAAACGGACAAAAATGGAAATAACATTTAGATGCTTCCTCCTCCTACTCTTCCTCCTCCTCCTCCTCCTGGGTCTTCCTGATCTTCCTCAGTCCTCTTCCTCCTCCCCTCCTCAGTCCTCCTCCTACTCCTCCTCCTCGTCCTCAGTCCTCCTCATCAGTCCACAACAGTCCTCCTCCTCCTCTTCATCCTCCTCTTCCTCCTCAGTCCTCAGTCCTCCTCAGTCCTCCTCCTCATCCTTCTCCTCAGTCCTCCATCCTCCTCCTGAGTCCTCCTCCTGGGTCCTCTTCCTGGGTCCTCTTCCTCCTCTTCATCCTCCTCCTCTTCCTCCTCAGTCCTCAGTCCTTCTCAGTCCTCCTCCTCATCCTTCTCCTCAGTCCTCCATCCTCCTCTTCAGTCCTCCTCCTCCTCAGTCCTCCTCCTTCTCAGTCCTCCTCAGTCCTCCTCCTCCTCCTCCTGAGTCATCCTCCTCCTCCTCCTCTTCCCTCTCAGTCATCCTCCTCAGTCATCCTCCTCAGTCCTCCTCCTCCTGGGTCCTCCTCCTCCTCTTCATCCTCCTACTCTTCCTCCTCGGTCCTCAGTCCTCCTCCTCATCCTTCTCATCAGTCCTCCTACTCCTCAGTCCTTTCCCAGTCCCCCTCCTTCTCCTCCTCCTATTCAGTCCTCCTCCTCCTCCTCCTCCTCAGTTCTCCTCAGTCCTCCTTCTCATTTCTCCTAAGTTCTCCTCCTACTCCTCCTCCTCGTCCTCAGTCCTCCTCATCAGTCCACAACAGTCCTCCTCCTCCTCTTCATCCTCCTCTTCTTCCTCCTCAGTCCTCAGTCCTCCTCAGTCCTCCTCCTCATCCTTCTCCTCAGTCCTCCATCCTCCTCCTGAGTCCTCCTCCTGGGTCCTCTTCCTGGGTCCTCTTCCTCCTCTTCATCCTCCTCCTCTTCCTCCTCAGTCCTCAGTCCTTCTCAGTCCTCCTCCTCATCCTTCTCCTCAGTCCTCCATCCTCCTCTTCAGTCCTCCTCCTCCTCAGTCCTCCTCCTTCTCAGTCCTCCTCAGTCCTCCTCCTCCTCCTCCTGAGTCATCCTCCTCCTCCTCCTCTTCCCTCTCAGTCATCCTCCTCAGTCATCCTCCTCAGTCCTCCTCCTCCTGGGTCCTCCTCCTCCTCTTCATCCTCCTCCTCTTCCTCCTCGGTCCTCAGTCCTCCTCCTCATCCTTCTCATCAGTCCTCCTACTCCTCAGTCCTTTCCCAGTCCCCCTCCTTCTCCTCCTCCTATTCAGTCCTCCTCCTCCTCCTCCTCCTCAGTTCTCCTCAGTCCTCCTTCTCATTTCTCCTAAGTTCTCCTCCTGAGTCCTCTTCCTCCTGAGTCCTCCTCCTGAGTCCTCCTCCTCCCTCTCAGTCATCCTCCTCAGTCATCCTCCTCAGCCATCCTCCTCAGCCATCCTCCTCAGTACTCCTCAGTCCTCCTCCTTCTCAGTCATCGTCAGTCCTCCTCCTCAGTCCTCCTCAGTCCTCCTCCTCCTCCTCCTGAGTCCTCTTCCTCCTCCTCCTGGGTCCTCCTCCTGGGTCTTCCTGATCCTCCCAGTCCTCTTCCTCCTCCCCTCCTCAGTCCTCCTCCTACTCCTCCTCCTCGTCCTCAGTTCTCCTCATCAGTCCTCAACAGTCCTCCTCCTCCCCAGTCCTCCTCCTCCTCCTGGGGCCTTTTCCTGGGTCCTCCTCCTGGGTCCTCCTCCTCCTGGGTCCTCCTTCTCCTCCTCAGTCCTTCTCCTCCTCCTCCTCCTCAGTCCTCTTTCTCCTCTTCCTCCTCCTCCTCCCTCTCAGTCATCCTCCTCAGCCATCCTCCTCAGTCCTCCTCCTTCTCAGTCCTCCTGAGTCCTCCTCCTGAGTCCTCCTCCTCCTGAGTTATCCTCCTCAGTTCTCCTCCTCCTCCTCCTAGGTCCTCCTTCTGGGTCCTCCTCCTCCTCCTCCTGGGTCTTCCTGATCCTCCTCCTCCCTCTCAGTCATCCTCCTCAGTCATCTCTCTCAGTCATCCTCCTCAGCCATCCTCCTCAGCCACCCTCCTCAGCCATCCTCCTCAGCCATCCTCCTCAGTACTCTTCAGTACTCTTCAGTCCTCCTCCTCCTCAGTCCTCCTCAATCCTCCTCCTGAGTCCTCCTCCTCCTGAGTCATCCACCGCAGTCCTCCTCCTCCTCCTCCTCCTCCTCCTGGGTCCTCCTCCTGGGTCCTCCTCCTGGGTATTCCTGATCCTCCCCAGTTCTCTTCCTCCTCCCTCCTCAGTCCTCCTCCTACTCTTCGTCCTCAGTCCTCCTCCTGAGTCCTCCTCCTCCTAAGTCATCCTCCTCAGTCCTCCTCCTCCTCCTCCTGGGTCCTCCTCCTGGGTCTTCCTGATCCTCCCCAGTTCTCTTCCTCCTCCCCTCCTCAGTCCTCCTTCTACTCCTCGTCCTCAGTCCTCCTCATCAGTCCTCAACAGTCCTCCTCCTCCCCAGTCCTCCTCCTCCTCCTCCTCCTCCTGGGCCTTTTCCTGGGTCCCTATATAATTTGATTTAATAAGTTAAAGCTATTAATAGCTTTAGTGTGATTAATAAGTCGTTTGTTTTGTACAAGATTATAGTACAAGTTGCGAAAAATTCTCAAAATGTTTGTCTGCTTATGTCCACCAATGTCCGCTAATGTCCACCAATGTCCGTCCGAGTCCGCCTATGTCCGTCCGGGTCCGCCTATGTCCGTCCGAGTCCGTCAATGTCCGTCCGAGTCCGCCAATGTCCGTCCGTGTCCGCCCATGTCCCAAAAAACACGTCCGTTGTCTCATAGAATCCAAAAAGGACAGGACATAGGCGGACATGGACGGACATGACACCCCCCCCGATATAACATTTTTTACAATAATACAATTTGTTAGATTTTGAAAGCAGGACTTCAAGTAATGAAAGGGAGGTTTGATTCTGCATTACGATCACGGTTAATTAATCAACAAAAAGCTCCTTGCTTGATTCTTGATGGAGGTATGGGCACTGCCATGAGTAATATGGGTTTGAATGAGTATGATGCCTGGAGTGCACCTCGCAGGCTGAATGAAGCACACATCCGTGACAAGGTGAAGGAAGTGCACATGAACTTTTTAGAAAGTGGTGTTGATATTCTTACAACAAGCACATATGACTTCGATTATGAATTGGATGACACTGGTCCATATCAAATGAAGAGTCAGTGGGTTTTTGAAAATTTAAATTTAGTAAGAGAAACAGTTGATGAGTTTATGGCAAAGAAATCAAAAAGTGTTGATGTTCTTAGACCACTATTGGCCATGTCTGTTGGTTCGGTTGCAACGAGAATCACTGGGAGGGCTGAAACTGCAAACAGAGAACATGAGGTTGATGGTGAATGTAAAAGGGTTGAAGGTTATGGCTACAAAGATTCCGAAATTATGCATTACTTCAATGTAAGGTTGGGTGATGATATACTGCGTCATGCTGCTATATACGATGTTGCTGTTATAGCATTTGAAACTGTGGGAGATTTGTTAGAAGTACAAGTTATTTGTGATGTTCTGAAAACTAAGGCCGATCTGCTCGCTGAGACTGCAATGTCAACATGGGTTACATTGACTTGTCTCGATGAAGAAACAGTTGACACAGGAGGCAGCGTGACTTCTTGTTTTGAGCTGCTGGCTAAGTGTCCTCAGGTAACTGGTGTTGGTGTTAACTGCACTGAGCCTCATCTCGTTACACCTATCATTGGGAAAATAAAGCAAGTATTAAAAGAGTGTAATGCAGAAGATAAACTTATTGTTGTTTATCCAAACAGCGGTGAAATCTACCTCTCCAGAGCATTAAAAGATGGTGAAACAAATTATTGGAAAGCGCATTCGTCTTATAAGGATTGGAATTTTGCTGATGCTGCCATGGAATGGATTGATAATGGTGCGCACATAGTAGGGGGCTGCTGCAGAATAACTGCTCAGAACATTGCTGAATTAGCAAAAAAAGTTGGCAAACTTTAGCTGTTTCGCAAAATTGCATGCCAATAGTATTTTTAAAGAATGATCAATGGTGTAATTTTTCTCTTTGTGTTTATTCAGCATTTGAATAAATGTCTAAGTAGGTATCTACAGTGAAATAGAGCATAGAATTTTATAGTCAAGTATAATATTAATATTGTGATCAAAATATATATCTGTAGATCTCAATTATTGTATTATCTTATACCTTAGTTGCTCCATTACTATCTTTAAACCCAAAATTGATACTTTATTTGATTTAACAAAATAATTCATCGATGTCTAGTTAAAATCTTATCATAAGTTTTATGGTCATGTCCATTTAACATCGAGCAAAGCAGAGTTGCACACCGTCAAAGTGGGTGGAGATAGCTAGTGTGATCGAGAGCTGAACGAGAATAGACCATGCTGACCCACCATATGAATTATATGCTTGCATAGTTGCAACCTTGGATTCCTTCGACCTGGATTCTTCGGCTACTTAAAAATGGCATGAAATACGGCTGTGGAGTGTGGCTAGAATCCCACTCCCAGTAATTGTTAATGTTATATAATATAAAAATATAAAAATTGCAACGAATCAACTGGTCGGGAAGGTTAATGATTGTGAGTTACACTGATAAGACATGTAATGTGTAGTACAAGTAGTGAATTGTTGGGATTGAGTTGTCGGCGAGATAGCTTTATGGAATAGCACCTGACTGGTTTTCGGGAGGTCGTGGGTTCAATTCCCGCTCTCGGCACATCTCAACCTGACTTTTCATGAAAACGTACTACCTTACTGCCTTGATTCAGTTAGCTGAACGAGAAAAGACCATGCTGAGCCACCAGATGAAATAGTGTGACGGAATTTATACAGCCATCTTATCTTAAATTTGTATAATTACCAGACTAATGGCAGGAATTTCTTATGACGTATGACCTAGTAATGACCACTATCGCTAATAATTGCCAACAGTCTCAAATAGCGATGACAAAACAGGGAGTGGGGCAGTCTCGTAACGTCCTCTCACCAATAACAGACGAGAGTAGCGAGTCAGAATCCAAATCCTGGGCAGTCACCCAACAACATGGCAAGAGCATGAGCAGCAAGACACCGAGCAAGCAGGGAAGAAGACAGGATACGAGACAGAAACAGGGGGATGGTAAAGGGAAGAAGGATGGCGAGTCTAACAAGATAAAGCTACCTGTTCTAGGTGGGTTGTATTAGGAGCGCTGCTTTGGATCTTGTGTTATAATAATTTATGAATTTAAATCCATTCAGTTTCCATGAGCTGGAATTTGAAAAGTGTGAACATCAAAATTATTGCACGATATTATGAACATTGTTCAAACCAATAGTCCCGTGCTACAAATTACAGACCTAAAATAGTTGCTATGAGCTACAGTATTATTTGTTTTGACTGTTATAACCCAAGTGTCTCACCTCCAGGATCATTATCAATGAACATTGAGACACACAATCCTTATGAAGCTGAGAAGAAGTCAAACCATGAGGCCTTGTACAAGAGTAGACTTCTCCGAACTAAAAAACAAAAAAGCATTGAAGGTAAGTACTAATATAAAATATTATGTTCTTGATTCTGTACATCTTTTTGTGACTAAGCTCAATGATTATAATTTGCTTTCGGGACAAGCTGGAATTTATTTTTCATGAAAATTGATCTACATAATATTGTAATAGTTTTAGTCCGTGGTTCAACAAAAATGATAACTACTTTTTTAATGAATTAGAATAACATACAATAATAAAGTTCATCTGATCATACAATAAAATATGTCTACACACATCCCGTATTTAAACACAATATAACACGCACATTTACAGATTTGCCCATAACTACTTATTTAAATAGACAGTTTTTGGGTTTTTCCAAATAGTTTCTGATTATTCTGATTTGCGACAAATGATATTGCACTGTTAGGATAAACGACGTTTCAAAGTAACAACTTCTTATTCATGCTGACAAAATTGGTAAATATGTGAGAAAACTGTCTCATAAAATTTATTAATCAAAAATGGCTAAACGACAACAAATTGTTCAAATACTCGACTAAAATTAGAATCAAAATCTATATATATACAACACTACTCGATCTGCTATTCAATAAACTTAAAACATCCACTAAACAGCAAGTACGTGATTGTGATCGTGTGATGGAATGACATGTACAGTGATAACAGATGATTTAAGATGTAAGTGATAACAGATGATAAGGTAAAAGATACAATACATGTGAGATGGTGTATACACAATGTGAGTGATAATATAGTGAGTGGTTACTGATTGTGAGCGAGATGTGAAAAAACTTACTTATTTAAACTACAGATAAAAGTCACTATTTTTAAGAAGCACCTCCAGCCGCCTCCTGCTTGATCGCCACATTAAAGTAAACAGCGCACAAACACATGAACACCACATCCACCCCTGGTTTAACAGTCATGATGTAAGCTTTACCACAACCTTCCAGTTCTTCCTCCGCAGCTGATTTACTCAGCTCCGCGTATACCTCTTCAGTCTCTGCGTTAAATATCTTCGTCTCCTGCAGTTAGTAGGGGAGTGTTACTAGTGCTTTTTAATACAAATTAAAACGAGGCCTTTATGTTATGGAGCCAGGGTTTGGACTGGCTTTTACCCGATCTATTATATATTATTATCAATTACAGGTGATCTGAATAGTTCCATAAAACATCGTTTTAAGACGAAAAATAAATGTCGGGTTAGACTTCCTTGCCAGTACATATCTTACAGACTATACAGAGACTTTACCTTTATCCAGCTACCCCAGTTCTCAGCCTGTATTTTCAGCGCTGGGTTGTCTGGTAACTCTGTAGAGTCGTCCCTAGTGGGGTAGGGTGCCTCTAACAGGTAGACATGAGCTTTCTTCTTGAAAGTCATGGCTCTCAGGTTCATAGTGGCTCTTCTCTCGGACATTTCCTCTCCCGTGTAGATGTGGTAGGTAACCCTCATAGCCATCTTCTTCTTCACCAGTTCTGCTACTTTATTACCCTCCATGTCCAGTATCTCGTGGCTGAGAAGGTGGTTTTTGACCTGAAGTTGGTTTGAAGGTTTAAACACAAAGTTGCAACAGGAAGTTGACAAAGGAAATGTCAAGATCCTTTCATTCACTACATTCTGTGTGTTGTATTGATCTACTGCCTGCTGTGAATTGTTCCAAGCTAAAACATTTCCTTGTCCGGTGAGATATGATATCCGTAATGAACTACCTGAAATAGCTCCTTGCCGTGAATGTCCTTAATGACAAACCCTCCATGATTAACCATCCACTCCTCCTTCATCTCTAACTTCACCTCTTCTTCATAACAGTACTGTTCACCCGTAATCACTGGACAGGTTGACTTTGCCATTCTATTGAAAGGAAGTGTGTTACTTTATTTTGGTTTTGCCCAACCTTTAGGCATCTGCAGTCATTATGATTCCAGTAGTGGGCACGTGAAAGGCGAAAGAATTTTGTTTATTGGCAATAAGCAGTGACTTGTGCGGCCCTGGAACAAAGTTTTGAAACTCAGAAGGTAGCAAACGTTGCTTTGTGTTGTCATCTTCGCATCCCATCCCCGACAGCAAAATCCTCTTACCCGCTCTTCTTCCGCAAGAAATAAGAATTGATAAAAAAGAATCAAGAAAACTAGATAATGATCGACTTCACGTCCAGGATTAATAACTGGATAAATAGAAAAAACCTGTGATGTGTGAGTTAAGTAAGTTTCTAAAAATAATTTTATTTCAAGAAAGTTATATTGAATTAAGTAATAGGATATTATCTAATTACCGCTCAGTGCTCTAGAGTTATGATGTGTTCAACCAAACATTAGGAGGACAATAATAGTTACAACAAGAACAACAACACAAACAACACAGCAACAAATCGTTATCACACGGCAGTTAAATACAACAATGATTGTAGTATCGAATTCACTTTTATTGTACACAGAATACATTATACACATCAGAAACATACACAATACATTGCAATATATATCGGGTATACACTATACAGTATAACGTATTTGATGAAAATAAAGCACAGCAAACAGCAACAACAAGAACGTAAGTGAGCCAGCATCTTAAGCGGTGTGTAAAGTACACGGAAGAAAAACACTCCAGGCCTCTGCAACTATACACCACGTACAACTAAACACCGCGTACTAATGGCCAGCTTGCGAAGTAAATCTGTCGGAAGGTGGCCGCAGAGGGCGATCATTTTACATCCTTATTAAGTGTTTTGAGTGTATGGGACTATGGAATGTGTGGGGTTTCGTTATTCAATTTGTTACATTGTCATTAGCCACTAACCTACTGGTGCCAGGTTTCATCAGTAGTCTGCTAAATAGATCGGGGCCGGAGCATATAATCATATCGCAACCTGCCAATAAAATAGGGCATTGTGCGCACTTTAAGCTTTTAAGCGTTTGGTATGTGTGCAATGGTTTTGCTTTTCTCAGTATCTGAGAGATTATATATATATATCGTATAATATAATGAGAATAAATAATCCCTGGGCTTGTCTGTTGGTTAATTTCCACTAAGCATCTGTCTCTGGTTAATGGTTTCTCGCCAATCTCACTTATCATTTCCGAACACTTGGTCCATGGTTTTTAAAGCTATTCTGTAGACGATAATGTTCTTGTCCTGCAGTTCTCTTAAAATAAGTAACCGACCGAAGTTCTCTTATTTTTCTCTTGGTCGTTGGTCGTGAACTGTTCAACTGACACAGGTGAGGAGCATTAGCATCGTCTAAAATACGACAAACAAGTTCCAGCCATTCGCAAAGTTCTTCTGCGGCACTTATCTTTTGTTCAAATTGACTTCAGTACAGTTTCTTGATAATTGCAATAATTTGACCTCTTTAAAAGTCGTGAAAATAGCGGTAAAGTGATTAAAAATAGATAGATCTGCTCAGATCTTTTTGAATTAAGCATTTATCTCATTTCTGGACAAAATTATTCCATTTTTAAGCTCTGCGTTTTCGTGTCACTGGCCATTTTCAATTTGCCATTCATGATCTCCCAGCCATCTAGCCGTTAATAAGACTTTTGGCCGTAGTGATTTTGCATGAAATTCGGCATATATTCTCTAAGATTTGTCACCTTCTTTGGTTCTTAAATCACTGTAGTATTCTCTTTCCCCTTATCCGGCGCCCACAACAACCCTTTGTCTAACCTTACAATTTTAGCCCAGAAATAAGAAAATATGGCCCACACTGATAAAACAATGCTTTTCATGACACAAAAAGTGGTAAATTTCGTAAAACATTCGGCTCATGAATGCAAATTCTAATTCCAGCCCCTTTATTTTATAAACGCTGTACGCAGTGATGAAGACTGCGAAGTGAGGGGAGTTACCCGCCATGTCGCGACCCCCCAGGATTTTAAATTCCCGTTAACAATTTTATTGTTACAGGTATGTTCCAAGCAGCGAAAGCAAACAAGGAGCTATCCCAGATACTGTTGAACATGAACCCCTCGTTTAACCTGGATATAGGAGAACACAACCTCCACAGATTCCTGGCTCCTAATCGTCACCTCCTCCCTGAAGACGTAAGTTAATCTTATTTTGGGGTTCATCTCAAACAACATTTATAGCTCTAGTAGACCCTCTATAAATTGAATTAGTTCCAACAACCACTGTCACTCTGATGATAAGCTGACACCATGGCTTTGTTAGTTGCTACATCAGCTCATATCTCTCCCTTTACAGGTAGATGACTCAGATTGTTACCCTGAACCTCACACTCCCTCACAAGTCAGTACAGAACTACTTGATGACGTCACCAGCCTAGCCCCACTTCCAGCACCTATCAAGAAGGAGGAGTACCCTCTTCTGGGGCTCAAACCTCAGGCTCCTCCTCCTCTTACTGCTCACGAACTGGTTAGGAGATCTAAGGTTATTGAGGCTGTAGCTCCAAGCTCACTGTGGGTCCCTGCTACCAGTTTGAAGGGCGGGGAGCTCGTCTCTATTTAAACTGGAGACACTGTTTCATAGTATGCTCGTTGTTATCTGGACTTTGTGAGACTTCACTATGTGTTCCTACCATGGGTGTTATTCGTAGAAACGCATTTTACTTTTCATAAAGCTTGCATTACACGTGATCTCTAATTCTACCCCAATTCACACAATGTCACCAAATGGGAACCTGTGCTTTGGCTCAATCATCTCGAACATAAAGGTGGGTTGAAGGGGTCGGGGTAACTTGAGGAAAGGCAGTGGATACTCGAACTGTCATCTGAGCTAAATTGAGTGCCCGTTGTTTTTAACTTGTCATCAATATTTTAGTAGATTATGTTCAAATTTTATAAAAATATTATCAGAAGTATTATGTATTTATCAGATATTATACAGGTATTCAGGTATTCATTATATCAGTACAGTCAGACAATACAGTATACACCTATCATACTTAATTTATTGAAATTTTATACCCACCAGCCCGATCAAATTCAATTTGGTTTTCATCTGTACAGATTATTTATGATATTTATAGAACATCTTTATAATATATTATGCGAATGTATAAAGAAAACTGAAATTGTATATTATATTACACACTGTATTTTGAATTGTAAACTGTGTTCCTTTGAGTCTACGTCATGTTTAAATCCCATTAAAATATAAAATATGAACTTTAACTGACATCAAAGATTTCTATATTTTACCCCGTCTTGTATTTCACTCGCTATATACAATATATTTTTTGTCAGCTGTAAGCAACTAACTCTTTTATCCCCAACAGTGTCATGTCTAATTCACAAAAAGCAAAAATTCACAAGGACGTTAAGGGTCGGATAATATTGGACGAAGAGAAGTACGTGGAGGTAACGATTATGTAATTAATTATTCTTTTATCTGATTAATTATTCAAATATCTATGAGAGCCCCACTTTCTGGCAATCCAGTTACAACCAAGGTTTTATTTTTCGTCGATGTGCTGCTAACTGATAGTATGACGTCCTGGGGGACTAGTAACGGGCGTGAAACGGTAGTCACCCTTGCACTAGCTGGAACACAGCGAAGAAAATAATAATAAATCAGAACTGTGCTTAACCAGATTATCTGTTATCAAACCTGTAAAACTTGATACAATCAAACTGACCTCATAAAATGAACTGTTTTGCGTCATCCGCTTATCTTACTGATTTAATTATTATAATCACATTTCCTTTGTATCACGTAGCTTATGTGTTTGTTATCAATTAAAAATATTTGGCAAGTTTGATCAGAAAGAATTAGCGCATAGGGATATGATACTATGAATTTATGAACTTAACAATTATAAGAATTCCGAACAAGCAAAATTGACGTCGAAATTTAGACTTAAACTTACATAGCCTTTCAGTTACATCTTGCATTTTTGCCCTTACTGGAGCTTAATCAAAACCATCAGACATTTATGGCACTGTATTATCTATAATACCTTCATGTTTGACATGAAAAGTTCTTACGAATCCATAAAGAAAAAAAGAAGTTCCTACGTATTCTGACGTAAGAATCAGAAATCGAATTAGAAAACCCGCTCAAACTGATTGAACTGTACCAAAGTGGCCGTTGGATTTGCAAATCAATGTTTTTATTATCTTCCTAACTTCCTTATCTGAATCACGAGAAAAACTTGTGATGTTTGTTTGGTTTGTGTTGTTGAAGTGCCACTACCCACTACCGTTTATACTGAAGTTCCACTTTCACTACCATTTCAGTGCCTGGATCACATAATAGAAAGAGACTTCTTTCCTGATCTGAAGAAACTTAGGAGGGAGACTGGATGTTTACCTGCTGAATCTGAAAGGATTGGTAAGTTTTTATTCTTGAATAAAAGTAATGTATTCTTTAGGCCAGCAGCACATTTTCGAATTTACTGAGGGTTTATTAATTGTGGAGGATAAATTGAGTCGTGGGAAAATGTGTGGCCAGGTCCCAAATTTGTCCGCGTTTCTGTTTATTCTTGCTTCACTTTTTGGGAAATAATTTCCTTTGCTGTGGTTGCTAGGGGCCAACCCGACGCAGCCCAATACAAATTTTGGGTACTTACGCGTAAGCGGCGAAAATAAATCTTATTAGCACAACTTTTTTTAACGCGCGTGTGTAGAATTTGGGACTCCTGTGGATGCTTAGTTCAGATCATGCAGTCTAATCCGCTGATTTTAACTGTTAACTTCGAGATAATTTTTGCAAGTTTAAAATAATACCTACTCCCATGCCAGATTTGAGTAATGAAACGTTCGACACGCCGATGTTGACTGGGGGTGGAGACATGGCCACACCGAGCCAGGGCGTAAAGGAGCAAGCAGCAGTCTTATCAGCTCCTATAAGGGCGGATTCCAGCTTGGACAAGTAAGTAATAAGTTAACTGTATTTAGGTTGTTGAGATTATATTTTGATGGAGATGTGGTGAGACTAGGCTCAAGATTGGGATTTAAAACTGCATAGCTATATCTTTTACCATTAAAGCCTGAAATCAAAACATGTAAACAGACAAAACATGTAAACAGATCATTTAATTTTGCTTCAGGTTTTTAAACAAGCACACGAGTGAAGATAACGCATCTTTCGATGAAATAGTGGCGGAGGAAACAGCTAAAGCAGATGAGAAGGCTGTCGGCTTGTTCGCACCTTCACTCGAGTACAAACCTGACCTGGCCGCCATCGGATGTAAGGCTTTTTGTACACATTTTGATATTTCTGTAATAAGATGTGTATAAAAGTGTGTAGTGACAAGTGTGTAGTGGTAATGTATATTATTTATTATGACGACGCGATATTTATAATGCAGAATTAAAAGCTGCTTTCGATATGACTGGTGGTGGGCTCTCTCCGGCATGACATAGATCTATATAGGGGGTACCCGGGGTACGAGTTAACGAACAGTGTTCGTGTCCTTCCACAACCCCCTGTTACCTGTGTTTCTGTCGGGGGAGCCTAATTCATCCGTTAGAATCGCAGAGTTAGCGGAGCTCATGATATCTCGCGACGTATGCTGCATGAACGGTGCAAGACTTGCGCCGTTTGTTTCAGCATCCAGTTGCGAGTGCTTGCCCATCGAAAACATGATTAGTGATTGTGGATTTTATTGATATTAGTGATTATCCATCATATTCAGTATTAATATTATCAATTATTTATTTATTGACATCCTTCAGTCTCCAAAACGAGGTGTGAAGGTAAATTAACTTTGATCCTTGTTTTGGCGACTGCTTAATCGATGGGCAAGTAGGTATTTGTTTTTTAGCAGTGTTGAACATTGGAACAATTATAATATGTTTATTTTTATCTTATATAACATACAATATGAATGACATATGCTATAGTGACGTAACATATATAGTGCAAAGAATTAGTAACTTACTAGATGTGATTTAAGTGCAATTGTAAATTGCAAAATGTTAACGTCGATTATTACTAACATTTATCTGAATTTAATACAAGTACATGTCACATATAAATTGGGTAGCTGAATGAAACTCGTGCGTCAGAATTTTCCGTTATTAGCATTGCAGTGTCCACGCCCTGTACTGCGTTAACGACCGAAATTTTCCCAATATGCAATAATTATTTTGCTTCTAAAATTATCTGATAATTAATAATATATCGTGACATGTAATTGTAAGATAACAAACCTCGCGCGCGGCGCTTACATCTGCACCTGAGAATCTCTCAGCAATGTGTGGCTGTCTGCGCGGCGGGCTGTGTATTGTGTATATAGCTGAATTTAAATTTAGATTTATTTGTAAATGTATAATAATATTAAATATGTATTGATTGTTTTGTGGTAAATAAAATTTTTGTTTAAAAAAAAAAAAAAAAAGATGCTAGGTTGGGATCAAACAGATTTTGCCATCGATTTATCCCCCTAAATATAATCACTTTCCTTGATTTATCGGATATTTCATTATTTTTGGAGAAGAAGTTGTAACCCCTCACCCACTCTTAATCTACAAATCTCCTCAGACCAAGAGAGCCTGAAGGTTAACAAGCCACCAGACAGGTGGACCTTCAAGATGAGGAATGACCTGTTGTTCCCGCCTCAGGGACTCATGATTAAAGATGTAGATAATCCTAATGCTAATCGACAGATAGTTCACAGTAATACTGGGTTAGTAACAGTTCTAATAACATAATTATTGTTGACTGTTGTTAAATTATAAACTAAGTTTGCGATCATCTTGGCGACTGAGATTGCTTAGTATCTAAGTATCACGATTTGCTTTGGTGCTACAATCAAAGTACTTACAAACAGATTACACTATATCTGAGGGCAGCAGTATCAGAATGATGCGGGCAGAGATTGAGAAGCTTGGGTTACATATTGTTTGGTCCAAGATGTTTCTAGCAAATTGATGTTGTGCCGTAAAATGTATTCATATTTCAGGTTACCGAACTCCTTTGTCCAAGAGAGTTTAGCCAAGAAGATGGCTCCAGTTATTGGAAAAGATAAGGTAGGATTTCCAATTGAGATGCGTACATGATTACAGTCTGTATTCAAATTGAAGACATTATAATTATGTACATTGAAGCATGGTTTTCAGGTCATCCAACTGTAAACTAACTGTAAACATAGCTTTGCGTGATTACAATATATATCACAAAATAATGGTCTTGATATCTGCCTTTTTGTGATATTGCTTTATAAAGATACGTTAAACTTCCATCCACTGAAACCTGTTTCAGGCATTATCATTACAAAAGATTCATATTAAGCAAGATCATTACAACAAATCCCCCTACAGATAGGCGTGGACGGTAAACCAATGGACGGGAACGCGACCCCGCGAGTTAAAGGTTACGCGTACTGCGCCACGCCTCAGATAGAGCCAGGGGTGGGTGCCTCGCCCCTGATGACATGGGGAGAAGTGGAGACCACTCCCCAGAGAATAGAGGGCACCACCCCAGTCAGGCACTCTGGTCCTGCTTTTAAGATACCCCAGGTTTGTGGGAATTTAACAGGTTTATATAAAAACTTGCTTAATTGTAATCTGCAATGCACATCAAATACTGAAACATACAGACATATAGAAATTAGTCAACAGATGAATTTCACCCATGATAAAAAAACATATAAGTTACTCAAAAATCAGGTGCATATAGTTGAAACCATAGTAAACTCAAAACAAGAACTCTTACCAAAAAGAACTGTTAATTATGCCGTTTTATAGTTTATCGCTGGCAGTGACAGCCGTTAAGTAATGAAAAGTGCCCAATTTTGTACACATAAACAAGGCGACATAAAGTTTTTTTTAAACGGCTATACCAGGGCCCATAGAAACATGAGCCTCCAGATTATTTTATAATTTATTAAGAAGTGTATGATGGAGTAGAAGTATATTCATATTGTGGAATAGCCTGAGTTTCGTGTACAAATACGTTTAACAGAACGACACAAAAACATAGGGCCACTAAAAAGTGCGGTTATGTAACCCTTGTAACGCATGCGGAGATCAGGTTTACGAACTATGATAATAGTCGGGAACAAGGCCGCTGTTAACAAAGGAAATGTAAACTTGGCTACCATCTCCACAGAATACCTGGGATCATCATAAAGCTCCATGTCCACCTGGTAGATGTAGAACAGGAAGAAACAGAGAGCGAATGAACCGTTACACACCAGGAACAGAACGGAAATGAGAAACACAGTGAGGTTAACATGGTTACCCAGGCTCCTCCGCAGCTTACACCCGCTCCCAAACACCACACTCACGTACACCATCTGGACTACCATGCAGACCAACACAATACCACACGGTACCACGTACTCGCAACACAGGAGGATGAACGTGAGGGCATCGTACAGCGTACCACTGGAGATGAAGGACAGATCCATGATCCTCATCACAACTCCCCCTCCTATAAAGATCAGGTTATCGTATGCTCGCTCCTGTCCCACAGTACACACTTTATACCCGTTACCACTGATTGGGTCTCGTTGAAAGTGCTGGTGCCAGAATACCATGTCCAGTATTGAGACGAACAGACCGAAGGTTGGGACTAGCACCAGGGCACTCTTCAAGAGGTCCTGACTGACTTGGTAGAAGGGGTTGATAATGTTGGTAGTTTTGAGGATAGTCAGGACCACGCTGAAGAAGATGGAAGAGATGTAGCTGAAGAGACCGGGAGTGATGTACAGTAGAAATATCCACGACTGAAGGGAGAAAGTCTCATCTCTCAGGCAGATAGTTGCCACAGTACCCCTCACCAGTTGAGAAACAGCTGTTATCACATCAGCTGCAGCGATAAGAAGGAAGAGAAGGGAGGAGACTCGTCGCCTGTCCGGGTAGTAGTCGTACAGTATCACGGAGTTTTGGAGTATGATGTAGAGAGCTAGAGTCAGGTCTATGGGGGTTAGGTACTTGTAGGTGCGGGTTTGGAGGGTAGTGTGGGATGTGTTAGAGTAGAGAGCAGAGGAGACATTGCCATTTATCCACCTTCCTGGCTGAGTGTCGTTAGTAAGTGATTATTAATATTAATAGAATATAACAATTGGATTAGTTCATACCGTGCAATAATAGAGTCGTCGTTTGTCATTCTCACGGTAAAATTCTCACGGTATCTTATAAAATTCTAATAACGGCTGTTGCAGTGTTGCTCTCAAATTAGAGAACAAAATCTGAAGTGCAATGTGATGTACGTTGGAAATTGAGCGGAACGTGAAGTTACTTACTGAGAAACACTAAAAGTCTACAAAAAAATCACGACCGGATGATTGTTATCTCAACTTTGCAATCATTTGACACTTGATATAAGGAAACCTTGATAACAAGATGTGTAAAACGTGGGATTCCAGGACATTCTGATTACTTTTCTATGAAAGTAAGATTCCATGAAAGTAAGATTTAAGACTAAGATAGCGAAACTGTAATTTTGTGAACGTTTTGATAATTGAATAAATTTCCACTATGACAGTAAGTAAGAATTGTGGGGATTGTAACAGAACCAGTAGTGAATAATGGGTATGAATTGTGTAAGAAAGAAGAACTCGTTCATGATCTGAACAACCAAAATTAGATTTCTACTTCAAAAAATATAATATTGATTGGATTAGGGACCACTGACCAGGATGTGGTGGGGGGTGTCATCGTCATTTACTTGAAAAAGTGGGGAAATATTTTAGCCATTCTTGCCAACGAATTTCCCGCTATTTGCGCCGTTGATCCCGAAAATTGTTAGTTTTCGTCCCGAAATCTTTCTCCATTTACGTTAGGAATCCCAGAAATCAATGAAAAAAATGGCGATGACTCCCCCGGGGCAATATTTTAGACTCCAGCACAATCTAGAATAATTTGAGTTAAAAGTAATAAGCCCAAGACTTAAATACCGTGATTGGTTGCCTCTCGTCACGAGGTATTATTACCCCATTCTGATTGGTTGCCTCTCGTCACGAGGTATATTTACCCCATTCTGATTGGTTGCCTCTCGTCACAAAGTATATTTACCCCACTCTGATTGGTTGCCACTCGTCACGAGGTATTATTACCCCATTCTGATTGGAACATTGTGTGACAAGTGGTTTGTGCAGGTGCCGGAGAAGGACAGATTAGGACACGCTCTAGCTGACCGCGTCAACAAGAGACACAAACAGCGACACGACAAGGCTATGACTGCTATGAAGAAACTTGCTAACTCGTAAATATACCTTATCTTACCTAACAATTCTCTTATCACAGAATACACATGTTCTGGCTTTTAAAATGATGTCTGTTTATTTCTTATCCCTGTTGGGGTAATATAAAATTAATGTAGACTCAATGATAACCAGTTTCAGATGTGGGACCTAATTTTCAGTCGGCAGACTAAAAATTAAGTTTCAAAAATCATTGAAATAATTAGTTCAGCATTATCAACTAACATAACACCCAGGGCCGGGTTGACTCCCTCTCCACTGCGCGACCTCTCCGGTCTGTCCCCAGCTGCGCGGCGCCTGGCTCTCGCCACCTCCTCCATGCGATCCAGCTCAGCACGCAGCAACATCTTCTCAACCACCCCCAACAAGACCACACCTGTCAGAACTCCCGGCTGGGATAGTCCTAAAGGCAAGTGGACTCCCTCGGACACTCCCTCGGACACTCCCTCGGACACTCCCTCAGGTACCCCTGATAGTGTAGTCACGGGATCAGAAACTTGACATTATAACACCACACACTGTGGGGGCTGAACAGTGGGACATGGTGTTTTAAGTCTATGAACACCAAGACGTATTGGATACACGCAATAGAATTCTTGGTAACTGTAAAAGAATTCTTGGTGACTCTGCTCAATTGTTTGTGTGCACTGTGCAGTGATGTGTTGAAGTAGATTTAGGGTTGCATCTGTTTATAATCCGCGTACAAACTGTATGCTACTACTACTAGTAGTACTACACTTACAGTAAACCACGTAGACACCTCATTTTCTGCTTTTAAACAAATTGTTTGAGATGCGCTTTTATTGAGATACTGCATTTGCAGAGCAAAAGTTATTGGCACTTCCCAAATGAACATCAACAATTACAATGACAGCGGGAATTTTCATTTTTTATAATTATTTATATGTTTTAATTGGTTATTTATTGATTAAGGGATTATTTCATTTGTGCGTCGATTCTTGACAATATGTCTGTTGTTATACTTATACATTGCTTTAAATTTGCTGTGAAAGTGCAATATTCGGCATTTAATTTAGTGGGCAAAATTTACGACACTATAAAAGTTCTAAGAGGGCTGATGTTGAAAGGGCCAAAACGTTGGTGAGGATCAGACTGTATCTTGATATTGTGCCAGCGAATATTTAACACTTTTATTTTACTCCAACAATACCTATTCAACTTAAATTTGGTCGGCACAAAGGCATATACTTTTAGCCGTTTTTGTTTTACGCGGACACCGATCAAGAATTTTACCACCTAATTTTGTATAATCGATTATACAGTTTTTACTGACCAAAAATTTTCAGTATTAATATCTTTCCTGTAAAATTATGTACTGCAAAGATACTCCGTACATTTAATGCAATCTGATAAGGTTATCAGTTAACGTTTAAACTTTTAAAGCACTTTTACTTGGTGACGATATTAACTTTTAATGTTTAATAAACTAAGTGTTATATTACTGCGGTTTAGCTTTTGTGGTCATGTCTCTTTCAACACGAAACAAAATGTATCGTATTTTTATAATTCCAAGAAAGTGTAATTTAAATTCTACATCGAATGCCATTATTTTAATGCACACTCTTTTGAATGAATTGGTTTCCTTTCTCCATGCTTGCTCTTGTACAGATTGAATCAAAAATTAAAGGCCCAATTATCAAAGCAAAATGCTGTTGAAAATGCTTGGTCTGCCAGGCCGTTTGCGCCCATAACTTTAACGGTCCATAAGTTTAGCCACTCACAATTCTTTCTGACTGAATGATGGGGCCGATAAGTTAAGCCATGAACTATTTGTACTATTTGCAACCAAATCCCTGAAAAACGAAAATATCTTTTCTTTCTCCTACGGCGATGATTTCCCTTTGATCCAAATAACAGCAATCTCTAAAAGTAGCGTCGACAAGGAAGCCCTGCAAGTACCCGCAAGTTTGTATCTCAGCTAGTTAGTGCGTTGCAGCCTACCATAACTCATGTTGTGCAGTACGAAAACCTGGAAACAGCATTAACTTCTGGCAGCGCTGTTCACCACCACCTCCTCCCGATTGTAGTTTTGCAGATGTACTGCTACCGCTACACGGGCGTCACTCAGTCTCACTTTGCTTTCGTCCAATTAGAAACATCCTCAGCAGGGCATATCTGCATGTAAATATAATTGGTTCATGTATATGGATTTCACCTGTTGTTAATTCATGACGCCGCGAGTTATGGCCTCCAATTTTCTATCGACAATTTGCAGGTTGTTTGGCCATTGGTTTGTCAATTCGTTGATAAATGAGCTTATTTTATTTTTACTACGTCAAATAATGATATTAACATAGCAAAATAGCTGTTTAAATAACACATCAAGTCATGTGTAGTTGCTAATGTTTCGAAAATTTGGCGTTTGAACATTAAATTGGAATCGTCGCGTTTTTATAGACCAGCCGTATCTCCTGTAGCATGCGTAGAACTAGTAGAAGAGCAAAAGTTTGGCCCAGTTAGATAAAGTCTAGGCCGGGTGCAGTTTGCACGTGTTAGTTACCATAATCCTGGAACTTTTCCAAATCTACCCAGCTGGAAACACCAACCTTCAATCCACATTTAGTCCTCTGAGCTGAGGAGCATAACTTGATGAAGTTTCCGGTTCCTGGTTTAAATTCCTGTTTTAATTTGTAATACCCTTTAAGTATATGTGACCTGATTTTGTATGGCAAACATCAAAAAAGTTTACATTACTACAGAAATAACTTAATTTATTAAAGAGTAAAGAAAGGTACACTCCCCTAAAGACAAAGCTATATTTAACGCAGATACTAAGCAGTTAAAGTTGTTGAGTTTGTCAGATGGGTATTTGCCCTTCGTTATTATCTAAGCAAGTTAATGCTTCTAACTTAACCGGAACCTCGAAAGTTAAAAGTGGCCCAGTTACTAGTTTGATGCCCTAAAAGTTTTTCCTGTTAACATATTATAGTTATACTGCATATGTTGAGGTCCGTTCCTCATTACAAATAAATTAACTGTCTATTAAATACGAACTACCAATAGTTTACCACTTAACTCCATATAGTTTTTGTAATTCTTCTAGTTGAGGCAGTTTGGGAGTATGCACCAATATAAGGCATACAGCTTTAGCGCTTTTACATGCTACTTACCCATATGCACTTTAGCGCTGTTACATGCTACTTTAGCGCTGTTACATGCTACTTTAGCGCTGTTACATGCTACTTTAGCGCTGTTTCATGCTACTTTAGTGCTGTTACATGCTACTTACCCATTTAGCGCTGATATTCTGTAATTTACATTATTCGTGGTGGCGTATTGTTAATACTTTAATTAATATTTGTAATACTCGCTATCAATCGTGTTGGCGTCTAAATAATTTCTCATAAGATAATTTTACCAAAACCCATAATCATGGGTAGAGTGGACCGCTGTCAGTGTCTTTCTTTCCCAAACAAAAGGAATTGATATTACTTTGATTGACCGTTCTCAAATGTAAAATGATACCGAGAATGAAATCGGTCGCTCGCTTTTCCCATTCATTCACGGCTTACGAATTGTAATAAGTTTCGATTGATTACATCAATCAGATGCTGTAAAAATCTCTTTGGGTTGCGTTCGGGTCGATACTTAGTATTTCGGGGTAAGGGTGGTAGTTATTAGTATTACTTATTGAATTAGCTGAAGTTTATTGAATCTTCATTGCCGAGTACAGCTGCCTTTGGGTAGTTCTTCTTAATCTATTACAATTGTAAATGAATGGGAAAAGCGAGCGACCGATTTCATTCTCGGTATCATTTTACATTTGAGAACGGTCAATCAAAGTAATATCAATTCCTTTTGTTTGGGAAAGAGAGACACTGACAGCGGTCCACTCTACCCATGATTATGGGTTTTGGTAAAATATCATCTCTTTTTGATTATAATGTCAGGGTACTTTATAAAGTCGAAATATAAACTGATATCTTCATTAATAAGGAGGAATTTTCAACGATTTCGAAATTTTTCCTTTAAAAACATTTCCTTGTGTTTAGGTAAGCATATCGGTCGATCACTGACTGAATATGCCATTTAATACTCATTCAAGTTGGCATTAAATTCATATATAATGACATTAAACTGTCGTGGCAAAGCAGAATTTGTTGGAAATCACGAATGAGCAAAATTCTCACCTTTCGCACGTGCAAACTTTGAGCAGACGTTGCGTGAGCATCCAATATTGAATCGCCGTAAATTTTTGCATGTAATTGTTTTATATATGGACACGTTCATTTGAGTTTGAGGATATTGGTAAATATAAGTGACCCTATTAGAAGGCACAGTGTAGTTGACTTTGTCCCACTATGAAATTACTTAAACCCTTGATGGTTAGGATAATCGTCTCATCCTCTAGGCTAACTTTGTCACATAACGATATCTTAATCAGGTGATAAGATATCGCTTAAATACGGCCGGCACGGAAATGGTTACATAGTCACACTATAAACATGTGACGGAGTAAATATGGACCCCTTGCTGCCGTTTTTGACCAAATTTTTTAGTGTCCAGTTGATTGGATGGGTACATATGACCATTACCTACATATTTGACGACTTTTTTCGTTAGATGGTGCATTCAGGTTTACTCTGTCACACATTAAAGAAAATATGTGATGAATGTTTAGGGCACCCTGATAAGCAATGCTGAGTAGTGTAAGTTTATTTGATAGCCTGGAAGTGCTGGGAATTGTTATTATATCATATAGTCGTAAGGAATTAAAACACAGAAGGCACAACCAAGTTTACTTTGTCACATAATCTTGATGATATCTGAACATGTGTGAAATTGAACAAATAATGATATACCAGCTTAAACCCCTTAAATATTACGTACTATGGATCAAACAACACTGATAGTACCATGCACCAGTCACATAAATCATTATCAGGTGGTAATATGTTAACAGTGTCACAATTAAACTACCGCTACATGGTCAAAAATAGGGTAATTTCGTCACAAAAAATTATTATAACTCTGTTAGCTCCTTGCTGGCAAAATAACTAGTTTATCGAAATTTTGTTGATGATAAAGTTACATAGTATTCTAATAGAGGTATAGTCCTTCAAAATAGGGGCAAGACATGTTTACTTTGTCACATCAGTTATTATAAGACTTAGGTAATCGTCATCAGATTAAAAGATATTTTTCGTAGTTTGGATCGATTAATACTTTAATATACCTGTAATAAAGCATCCTATGCCAATTTTAACAGTATCTTGATACTGTTGGGGCAGGGAAAGTTAATTTTGTCACATTTTTAATGTCTTTGACAAATTAATCTAAATTTTTAAAATTGAGCTCTTATGTTCTGGACAATATTCTTCCAATCGTTTCTGAAAGAATGTTGAATTCTAATAAAGTTATAGATCTTCAAAATAGGGGCAAGACATGTTTACTTTGTCACATCAGTTATTATAAGAGTTAGGTAACCATCATCACATTAACATATATTTTTTTGTAGTTTGGATTGATTTATATAGGTAATAAAGCAGCCTATGCTAATTTTTACACACTATCTTGAAATTGTTGGGACATGAAAAGTTAATTTTGTCACATTTTTAGTGACTTTGAAAAATTTAACCTAAAATTGTTAAACTTAAGCTCTGATATTCTGGACAATATTCTAATAAAGGTATAGAATATTATAGATCTTCCAAATATGGGCAAGACATGTTTACTTTGTCACATCAGTTATTATAAGAGTTATTATAAGAGACTATTTCATTCTATAATCATTGTTTTTAATCTATTTACGATTTCGTATAATTTTTTGTGACAATGTAAACATCAACTGATCTTAACTTGCATCAACTACATTGTCATCATATAAAATTTTCCCACCTTTCAAACCAAAATCAGATATAAATAATTCGCCCAAAATTTAAAATTTCATATATTGTGACAGAATTAACCTCATTTCCCAATAACCAAGTGCCTGTATTAGCTAACTAGTCAAAACAACATATTTTAGGGCTATGATTGGTAGAGCAACCATCAAATAATGAGTTGAAAGGGTTTTTAGGACACCTCACAGTAGAATAGAGGTATGGTATCATGAGTGTGACAAAGTTACCCAAATATTGCCTTGTAACCGTTCGATCCGTGCCCATTAACCAATGTTGTATCATAATTGTTAGATTGACCTAATTTACTATATTTCAGACCAAGGAATGATAATTAGACAACTGCAGTTAAATAAGTCACACAAAATGTGACATTTGAAACATTATAGTGCCTAACAACAATAGATTTTCTTTCTGAGCGGTGCATATGGGAGTATGAGTTACGTGGCTAATGTTCAGAACTTCTGAACGTGCTAAGTTAATAGATGTCAAAATTAAGCCACTATCGTCAAAAACGCTATTATTTTTGTTTACCAATATCCTCAAACTCAAATGAACGTGTCCATATAGCTTGTAAAGCATGCAAAGTTTCAAAGTATTTCAAGAAGAACTGTTATCACAACGGCACTCTAAAGTTGACAGAAAATGACGAAAACAGAAATTTTCAGTGATTTTAGCGATTTTCTATCAATTTTGGCGTGTCCCAACGTGTGCAACTTTTCGATTTTCAACTTTAAAACTAGCCTAATGCACAATTTATACCTATAGGAAGCAGAACTGAGCTCTACAATCCAAGGCATGGCCCAACATCAGAGAATACTAAATCGCAAATTTGACGTTTTTATAAAATAATTCTTCAAAAAAGCACAAACTTCAATGACGAATATCTTTATGAAGGAGCAAGCTAGAAAAACTTTCCGGTAGATTTTCAGAATGCTTGAACAATTATCTAGGGTAAAAATTTCCTCAGATTTTGAATAAAATTACTCCTTAATGGTTTAAAATTAATTTTAAAAGTTATTACTTTGTCAAAAATCAAGTTTTAAAAATGGTTAACTTGATGACGTCATCAAGGGGTGTTTATGACGGCATATAATTTTTTATACAATGTAAACTAAAGTATAAACAATTATTTGCAAAACCTGTGGTCGGAAATGGCTGTATCTTTTATACTTTTGAATTTATGGACAATTAAATACAGGCTACAATTGACTGGCAAAGCGTCTATCCCTGAATATATGTATATCACAGTGCTGGCAAGCACGACCGTTGCATTTATTGTGGGTATACTATGTACCCCATTTACTATTATACCCCCTTTACTATTATACCCCCTTTACTATTATACCCCCTTTGGTACACGTTACAGGCCTCTTTCGTGCACGCGAAGCGTGCACTCCGGCCGGAGGCGGCGGCCGAAGGCCGCCGCCTCCGGCAGGAGTTTTTCAGGCATTAAGACTCATCGGAAGTCGTTCGACAGATTTATTTTTAGTTCAAAACATTCTAATTTGATGTCAAAGATGACAGGAATAAAAAATAGTTATGTTGAGATTTTTAAGAAATTTGCATAAAATACTCGCCAGCACTGTTATACGAAATTCGGTAAAAAACCCAAAATCGCCATATTCAGGTGCCTTAAAAACCATGTTAAAATTGAGTTAGAGATCTGAAATTTTTTAGGACGACTAGACGTTGACCAAATCGACTGCAAAAAAAGTTTCAGGTTTCAGGAGCATCGGGAAGTGGGTTTTCTAGAACCCCTGTTTTACGATAGATTGTCGTGATATATACATACATATATATATATATATATATATATATTCAGGGATAGACGCTTTGCCAGTCAATTGTAGCCTGTATTTAATTGTCCATAGATTCAAAAGTATAAAAGATACAGCCATTTCCGACCACAGGTCTTGCAAATAATTGTTTACACTTTAGTTTACATTGTATACAAAAATTATTTGACGTCATAAACACCCCTTGATGACGTCATCAAGTTAACCGTTTTTAAAACTTGATTTTTGACAAAGTAATAACTTTTAAAATTAATTTTAAACCATTAAGGAGTAATTTTATTCAAAATCTGAGGAAGTTTTCATCTTAGATAATTGTTCAAGCATTCTGAAAATCTACCGGAAAGTTTTTCTAGCTTGCTCCTTCATAAAGATATTCGTCATTGAAGTTTGTGCTTTTTTGAAGAATTATTTTATAAAAACGTCAATTTTGCGATTTAGTATTCTCTGGTGTTGGGCCATGCCTTGGATTGTGGAGCTTAGTTTTGCTTCCTATAGGTATAAATTGTGCATTAGGCTAGTTTTAAAGTTGAAAATCGAAAAGTTGCACACGTGGGGACACGCCCAAATTGATAGAAAATTGCTAAAATCACTGAAAATTGCTGTTTTCGTCATTTTCTGTCAACTTTAGAGTGCCGTTGTGATTACAGTTCTTCTTGAAATACTTTGAAACTTTGCATGCTTATCAAGCTATATATAAAACAAGTACATGCAAAAAGTTACGGCGATTCAATATTGGATGCGCACGCAACGTCCACTCAAAGTTTGCACGTGCGAAAGGTGAGAATTTTGCTCATTCGTGATTTCCAACAAATTCTGCTTTGCCACGACAGTTTAATGTCATTATATATGAATTTAATGCCAACTTGAATGAGTATTAAGTGGCATATTCAGTCAGTGATCGACCGATATGCTTCCCTAAACACAAGGAAATGTTTTTAAAGGAAAAATTTCGAAATCGTTGAAACTTCCTCCTTATTAATGAAGATATCAGTTTATATTTCGACTTTATAAAGTACCCTGACATTATAATCAAAAAGAGATGATATTTTACCAAAACCCATAATCATGGGTAGAGTGGACCGCTGCCAGTGTCTCTCTTTCCCAAACAAAAGGAAATGATATTAATTTGATTGACCGTTCTCAAATGCAAAATGATACCGAGAATGAAATCGGTCGCTCGCTTTTCCCATTTATTTACAATTGTACCTAATAGATTAAGAAAAACTACCCAAAGGCAGCTGTACTCGGCAATGAAGATTCAATAAACTTCAGCTTGTTCAATAAGTAATAACTACCACCCTTGTCCCTTACCCCGAAATACTAGGTATCGACCCGAACGCAACCCAAAGAGATTTTTACAGCATCAGATTGATGTAATCAATCGAAACTTATTTATACAATTCGTAAGCCGTGAATGAATGGGAAAAGCGAGCGACCGATTTCATTCTCGGTATCATTTTGCATTTGAGAACGGTCAATCAAATTAATATCATTTCCTTTTGTTTGGGAAAGAGAGACACTGGCAGCGGTCCACTCTACCCATGATTATGGGTTTTGGTAAAATATATGTATATATGTATGTATCACGACAATCTATCGTAAAACAGGGGTTCTAGAAAACCCACTTCCCGATGCTCCTGAAACCTGAAACTTTTTTTGCAGTCGATTTGGTCAACGTCTAGACGCCCTAAAAAATTTCAGATCTCTAACTCAATTTTAACATGGTTTTTAAGGCACCTGAATATGGCGATTTTGGGTTTTTTACCGAATTTCGTATAACAGTGCTGGCGAGTATTTTATGCAAATTTCTTAAAAATCTCAACATTACTATTTTTTATTCCTGTCATCTTTGACATCAAATTAGAATGTTTTGAACTAAAAATAAATCTGCTGAACGACTTCCGATGAGTCTTAATGCCTGAAAAACTCGTGCCGGAGGAGGCGGCCTTCGGCCGCCGCCTCCGGCCGGAGTGCACGCTTCGCGTGCACGAAAGAGGCTTCCGACGAGTACCAAAGGGGTTATAGTAGTAAAGGGGGTATAATAGTAAAGGGGGTACAATAGTAAAGGGGGTACATAGTATACCCCCAATAAAGACACCGCTCGTGTTTGCCAGCACTGTGACCATACAGATTTTGTGGACCTTCTTTAAATAAAGTAGTAAGATATTTGCAATCGGCTATTTTGGATTTAAGTCTGATCTAATATACAGCATTGAACAAAGTTTTGCATTCTTCAGTCGAGAACTTTGGCGATCAATAAGATCATTCCTTGCAGTTGTGCAAAATTCTTTTTTCGTCTATCGCGTTTTCAGACACCTCCATTTGATTCGCCCAAATCATTGTGTGAACTGTAGCTTCACCAGTACCATGATATGAAGAAACCATATAAAAAACGCCGGTCCAAGCTTCCAAGGTGCTAAATATATCCCAGCATATGTATTCTCGTGTTAATAAACCTCGCTGACTCTTGTTCACATCCAGCCGTCTTGTTTTGCCTACTCGAGCTGTACATTCCTCAACTTTAAAGTTACGTTCTCAGGCTGGGATTGAGATGTATTTTGTATATTTATTATAACACGTCTAGTGAGTGGTTGTAAGTAGCTGCTAACAAATGGGTCTTTTGAAAGGGAGTCTACGAATACACATCATCGAAGCAAAGGTGAGGATGCTAAGAAAACTTATTCTGCATAGCATTATTATATATATATATTATATATATGTGAAAAACTTGACGATTACAATCTACAACTATCACTTTGACTTAGTAGTACTTAACATTAATAGCACTTTTCCTGAGTAGCACTTTTCCTTGCGATAGAATATCCTCGTAACATTAAATTCGACTGCAGGGTTTGTTAAACAGAGATAACACGGTAGTTCATGAAGATGTATCAGACCCCTATGTTTCTGTTGATGTTGGTGTTACCAGGGTAGCCAAAACGTTCGTCAAGGACAACAATCTCAATCCTCGCTGGAATGAGGTGAAAAATAATCTAGAAGGCATACATAGATTGTTATTGAAGTTAAACTTGTAGATTGTATTGTCAAAGGCTCAAGAATTAATCCCCCTACATACCCCAAATGAAGAAATTTGATTGAAAATAACTAAAACTAACAGTTAACAAACGACAGGTTTTTAACGTAGACGTGAACAGTAAAGCTCGGTCAGTGACCTTCAAGGTGAAGGACCGTGATGTGGTGGGATGTGACATGTTGGGCTGGTTAGCTATTGAAGTGGACGAGCTACTCGAGGAGGAGATTATATCCGGCTGGTGGGTTTAATCGCAAACTTTATTTTTATCAGGCCGGATTATAAAGTAGTGTCACATAGTGAGTTAGAACTTAAAAGCTTGGTGCTTGGTGCTTGTCCAACTGGAATGAAGACATGCATTTCATTCCTACCCGATCCATTTTTATTAGGACCGTGTTGTGTTGATATGACATGTTGATATATCAACTGTGGTACGAAACAGGGAGTTGCTAGGTGTTACGTTGGGAGCTATAAATATACATAATTTACATGCCTTTCTGTGTGACTTCAATCTTATTCAAGGTGTATCTCGGCTCATGGTTATCGTAGGATGATAATTCTTTTTTCAACCGGTCATAAAAAGTCTCCTCTCCATTGGTTATAGGCTCGTTAGTATCGTAAATTGTTAATTTATTCTTAATTAGTAATTTAGTCGGCCCGCACGCTCATTTTACCTGTATTTCTATATGCGCGGATCAGAGCAACTCACATAATTGACGTCACAGGTTCAAATTTTTTTGGCTGGATATCTCGGCGCGCGAATGAAATACAACTTTGCGGATTTCACTAAAGTGGTTTATACGATTAATGTAATAAAAGGATTTGCACGAGAAAAAAACTTTTTATAAGGTCCCCTCATCCTTTAATGCTGGTATTTATGTTTGCCTTGTCATGAACATATGCTGTAATTGTTTTAAATATTTAAATGTTTACTCGACACTCCTCCTCAGGTTTCCACTGATAAGTCCTCAGGGGAGACAGGATTGTGGCAAGCTGAGGGTAGAGATCAGTTTCAAGACCAAAAACAAGAACGTACAAAACAACATGTTTCCTCTCAGAACAACCACAAGGTAAATTTGACATTACTTTCTGAATTAAAGAAACTTTGTGAATTGAAGGAAAAATTAAAATAAGATCTTATTGATCAATGACACTTTGGAGACACTGACAGTTGATATATCATGACCAGCTTCACACTTTTATCATGATATCTATAATATCTTATTTCCAGGTTGAGACTATATCAGGATGCGTGCTGTGCCAAGTTTCCCCAACATGACACCCACGTTAGGAGGAACTCTACGATACAAGTCAAGGCTGGAGAAAGCAGCTGGATAGATTTGTACCGTGATCTCAAACAAGCTCAAGATCTTATCTACATCAGCGGATATACACTCAATCCTGGTTAGTAATTGTGAGCTGGAATGGTAGAAAACATAACTTTTATCACTATAATATATTATCTTTCATAATCGACCAATTTTATGAAGGACATCATTTAACGATACAATACAAGATAAAAGATGATATTCTATGGGGTCAAGGCCCTAGGGCTCTTAGTTTAAATAATAGTTAATATCTTAGTATTAGTAAAAAACTTGTTCTCAGATTTGAAGTTGTCGAGATACACACCGTGTGAGACGCTAGGACAGATACTTCTAGAACGTGCAGAGAAGGGGTGCAAGTCCTTATCCAAGTCCAGGTTAATCATTTAGGGTATCAAATTTTAAAATCATGATTAGCAAATAATACCATCAAATACAGAATATCATGTTATAGACTAGAGCCATAGTTAACAATTAGCCAGCTAGATCCCACAGGAGCTGTGTATGGGGTCCCCTTGTGAGTACATGTGCCACCTGCACGATCCTGAACGACACTTGAAGCTGAGATTCGCTGCTAGTTCCGTACAGGTTTCAGTGAGACCGCCCACACGAGATGACCACACCTCCTCCTTCGTTTTGGTGGACACGTCTCTGGAGAACGTTAACGTGCCGCAGAGACGACTTGTTGCTTACTTCGGGGGCTTGGACCTGGTTAGTTATTACGTTATTCGAGAGTCGAGATCAAGAGCATTCATCCTCACAAAAACATTAAATACCACATCGATGGGTGTATAAGTCAAAACCATGAAATAAGTGTAAAAGATGAGCTGGCCAAGTCTAAAATGATGTCCATGACAGGTAACAGGAAGATGGGACACGCCAGGTCACTCTCTCTTCGACACACAACGCACACTGCACCGGGGTGACTTCTACAACCCCTGTCTGAACCTCCGGGCCCGGGGTCAGTCTTACTGTCAGATTTGTGGTCCCAAGGACACTCCTGACCAGGAAATTGAGACTACAACTTGTGATTCCTCAGGTGCTAGGTTACCTTGGCATGATACAACCAGCAGATTTGAGGTGAGTTCGTGGACAGATTTAGCTGTTGATTTTATCAATCACCTCACGTTCATGCAGCGAAGAACAAGGGAATATTTCGGTAGGAAACTGATAACAGACTCCTTACTGGTTTTACTACTTTTTGTGAAAGAAGTCCTATCTTCTTAAGATACCCACCTTTACAGGGCCGCCTAGCACACGATCTCATGGTACATTTCGAGGAGGAGTGGTTAAAACACGGACCTAAAACGAACTTTGCGGAAATAGACGATGAAGACTACGATCTGGATAACCCCCCTCCCGGAAACAAGACAGACGAGTGGGAATGCAGTCTCCTGACGAGCATTGCTAACCCTAGCAACCCCACATCGTCTCTAAAGAGACGGTCAACCAGACGTGCTAGAAGTAGGACGAAAAGTGTTATGACTACTAATGAGGATGTCATCCAACAATGTTTAATTAATCATATTAAGAAAGCGAAGAAATTCGTTTACGTGGAATGTCCGATTTTGTTCAAAACGAAAGAACCGGACGGTTTTACTCTGAACCCGGTCCTAAACGAGATGATAACACGGATTATGATATCTATTGAAAACAGAACAGAGTTCACGGTGTTCCTCGTGATCCCTGAACTTTACATCCACACATCCAACATGAAGTTAGCTTCAGATCCCGACACAGATCGTGTAAACGTTTACCACAGGGATTGTATTGCTAAAATGTATAACATGATAGGAAACTGTATTGCTCGACACAAGGGATCAGCAGATAAACACCCAACAGACTATGTCCAGGTTTACACTCTCCGAAACAACGGTTCCAGTACCCCCTACAAGCTTAAAGAACACGATCATAACATTCAGAGTCAGATGATATTCGTACATTCTCAGGTTGTTATCATAGACGACGAGCACTTGATAATGGGATCTCCAACCAGCCACACTCAGCTCGCAAACAAGGACTACGAAGTAGCTCTGGCTCTGTGCCAGCCCCATCACCCTAGTGTTATGAACGGACCGTTACCCACAGGGGATGTGGCCAGGTTTAGGATGTCCCTGTGGTTAGAACACATGGGGGACACCCAGACCTCTTGGACAGACCCGAGTAGCAGGGAGTGCAGGGAGAGACTGAGGTTTATAGCTCAGGTTAACAGAGCTAACCATGATAAGGGTGTGGTTTGCGAGTCTCATCTGCTCGAGTTTTGCAAATCTGTTCACAAGAGTGGGAGAACGGAGTTTTACCACTTTAAGACACATAAACACTAGTGCTATAACACTGGATTCTTAAACTTTACTTTCGGGTAGAGATCATAAGATCGCGATTTTTTTACCAACGTGAGCATGAAAATTACTTTTCCTTTTCAACCTCTTTTACTATTTCATAGCAAAAGCTTCTCGACACAAGAAGTGACACGTTTCTAAACAATATGGAGAGAAACACTTTATTCCCTCGCATCCTGTTTGATAACTTAGTATTCATTCATACTGACTTTCGTGGGAAAACTTTGTGCTATTTTTACAATGGACCTTAATGGAGTCAACCAAATATTTAATCGATATTGTGACTAAAATTCAGGTAAATCAGATTAATAATGGTTAAATTTATTGCACAAAATTGGCAAACCTTGCTGTGTGTATCGAATCCTATTTTTAACAAATTTTTGTCCGAAAGGAGGATTTTGGGATGAAAGAATTTAGGGCTCACACGAATAAATGAGCTTAACACGTCAGCCTTTCTAATTTTATAGTTATGGTAAGATGACATATAAACTGAGTTTTATGAGCAAGTTAAACTGTATTGAGTTAAGAATAACATATACCAACTATTTTTAACCAATTTGTCTCAATAACAAGTCTGTATAAACTGTATAAAGGTTGAAAAGATAAAAGCACCCGCGGCCCCGTGCTGGAAGTCCTAAAAGTGGAAGACAGGAAGGTCGGTATCCTCACAATGAAGTATCTCTGAACAGTAAACGTATCGTACCAGGATGCTGGTGGTGTAGCACCAAGGCTGTCCTGAGTTCCTGGGGTCCGGGTTCCGACACTTGTTGTGCTGACCAATACCGTACACTGCCGTGTTGCTAGGAGATGGGTGATACATGTGGGGATGTGGGAAATCACGTGACCAGTTCTGACACGTGTAGCTTTCTCCACTTTGAGTTCCGGTGGTTTGGTTTCCACGGTAACCAACGCCATCTTGTGCATAACACGCCACGTTCCACACACACTTAGGTACCCCGCACACTGATGGTTGTTGTGTGCCGTTAACATTAACAAGACAGGTAGGACCCTCACTCGCCTTCTCCTCATTCCTGCAGGGAGTCAGACACTTCCTGCCCTCTCTATCCACCTTCTGGTACCCTCTGAAGTACTGACCGTGTTCCTCCTCGTCAATGTAGCAGAACAAGCCTGTCATTACGGGGGAAATAAGGTACACTGCCTTCCTCAACTCCAAGTGTCCTCCGTTAACCACCACTATCTCCTCTCCAGTGCCACCTACATCCACTACCCAGTCCCCAGACACAGCCACTAGGTAGGATATCTCCCCTAGTATGTTGTCGATGGAGCCCCCCTCGTAGAACTCTGCCACTGCCATCTCAGAGCTGTTCATGCCAAGAAGTATAGGTCCGATACAATCTGTAGGGGAGGTAGATCCTGTTCTGTAGGTGGTGTGAGTTTTATTGCTGGGGCAAGAGGTACAGCTAGTTTGTCCCTTTCCGTCAGCAAAAGATCCCTGTTGACAGATATCACACTCAACAGCTCCCTCTGAAGCTGCTGAGTAGCCAGGGGAGCAAGGGGTGCACTGTGCAGCTGCAGTAGCGTTGTTAGTAGACGTACCAGGAAAGCAGGGCTCACAGATCAAACCTCCCGGTGAGCTGGTTATAGTTCCTGCTACACAATCCGTGCAGGTTTTAGCCCCTCTGACAATACCGTCAGTACTGGTCCCAGCCGGACACATTTCACAGGAACCTGCACCAGGGTTGGAGGAGACACTGCCAGGTCCACACAGGTTGCAGATGGCAGCACCCTGGTCTGAATAGCTCCCTGCACTGCAGTTAGAACAGGAGATTGTAGCGTTGGTGTCCGTGAAGGTGCCAGCTGAGCAGGGGCTACAGTCTTTACTCCCGGTCTTATCAGCAAAGTAGCCGGCAGGGCAAGCAGTACAGTTCCCAGTCCCGGGGCTAGTAGCGTTGTAACCAAGAGAGCAGGAAGAGCAGGACTCTGAACCACCCTTTCCGTTTGTAGAGGCTCCTGCTTCACACAGAACACACTTGGTTTGTCCTGTTGAGTTGCTAAAACTGCCAGGAACACACTTAGTGCAGCTTGTAGCCTTCATCTCTTCACTAGCAGATCCTTCATCACATAGTTTACAGTCAGCAGCCCCGGCAGTGTCACTGAAGGACCCTGGCGTGCAGTCCGAGCAGATCACACTTCCTGACTGACTGGAAGTACCCGCCACACACTGCTCACAATCAGTAGCTCCTCGCACCAACCCTCCGGTACTGGTACCAGCAGGACATGCTCCGCAGAACCCAGCTCCCTTCTTGTCTGTGTAGGTACCAGGACCGCACAAGTCGCACATTGTAGCATTTATTTCTGAAAAAGACCCTGCAGAACATTCACTGCACTCTGTTGTGCCATTCTTGTCTGAAAACGAGCCAGCGGCGCAACCAGTACATTCTGTTGTGCCATTCTTGTCAGAAAATGAGCCAGGGGCACAATCAGTACAGCTTGTAGCTGCTCTGATGCTGGAATACTGTCCAGGACTACACGGAGAACAAACAGCAGAGCCCTCTTTCTCAGCAAAAGTTCCAGGCTCACAAAGATTACAAATTGTGGCATTGGCCTCAGAATATGACCCTGCCGAGCAGGGGGAGCAAGTCTCGCAAGCGTGGTGTTCAGCAAAGGTTCCAGCCTGGCACACAGTGCAAGAGGTAGAGTTGGATTCAGCGGAGGAGGAGCCACGAGGACAGGGACTACAATTTGCTGTTCCGTTCCCAGGAGCAAAGAAGCCCGGACTGCACACTGTACACTCTGTGGCTGCTCTGAAATCTAAAGTCGAGCTACCTGGGGAGCAGAGGGTGCAGGCTGCAGATCCGTTAACTGGAGAATAGGAACCAGGCTCACACAGGTTACACATTTTAGATTTAGGTTCTGAAAATGAGCCCGCGTCACAAAGTATACATGATGTCGTTCCGTTGTTGTCAGAAAAAGAGCCAGCAGCACAATCAATGCAACCCTCAGCTCCATGAATGTTTGAATATTGTCCAGGACTGCACAAATCACAGGTTTCAGCTGATGCATCTTTAGCAAAAGATCCTGGTTCACAGAGATTACAGATTGTAGAGTTAGAATCAGCTGCGAAGGAGCCGGGTTCGCAAGCAGGGCAATCTGCTGTTCCGTTCCCAGGAGCATAGAAGCCAGGACTGCACACAGTGCATTCAGTGGCTGCTCTTAAACCAGCTGTTGAGCTACCTGGGGAGCAGAGGGTGCAGGCTGAGGACCCATTACTTGAAGCATAGGAACCAGGCTCACACAGGTTACACATTTCAGAGTTAGAGTCTGAGTAAGAGCCTGCGTCACAGAGTGAACATGATGTTGTTCCATTCTTGTCAGAAAAAGAGCCAGCAGCACAATCAGTGCAACTCTCAGCTCCATGAATGTTGGAATATTGTCCAGGTTTGCACAAATCACAGGTTTCAGCTGATGCATCTTTAGCAAAAGATCCTGGTTCACAGAGATTACAGATTGTAGAGTTAGAATCAGCTGCGAAGGAGCCGGGTTCGCAAGCAGGGCAATCTGCTGTTCCGTTCCCAGGAGCATAGAAGCCAGGACTGCACACTGTACACTCTGTGGCTGCTCTTAAACCTGCTGTTGAGCTACCTGGGGAGCAAAGGGTACAGGCTGAGGAGTTAATTGGAGAATAGGATCCAGGCTCACACAGATCACACATTGTAGAGTTATAGTTTGAGAAAGAGCCAGCTTCACAGAGTGAACATGATGTCGTGCCATTATTGTCAGAAAATGAGCCGGCCGAACACACTTCACAAAGAGTTTGTCCTTCCTTATCATTATAAGAACCAGGGATGCAGAGATTGCAGCTTGTTGCATTTGTCTTGTTACTGAGAGGAGTTCGAGTTAGTTTGATCACAACAGGATTTCAACAAACTCTGAAGACATGATTTGTTTTGTAATGTTAACATTTGTCATAGATTGATGTCGCTACTAGGCACTGAATTCATGACACAAATTAATCATTAAGCTGAAAAAATAAGCTTAAGCTATAAGAATATTAGATAATGAGGGAGACGAGGAAAATCCTTTAAAATCGCGTTAAAATTAACCTGTAGGATCCAGCGGGGCACAGAACACAAATAGTTTTGTTGTTAACATAACTGCCAGGTTTGCAGTCTACATCTAGCTCATCTGAAATATAAATTTCGTTGGGGGCCAAAACCTTATGTGAAGTGTGAAAGATTCCTCTATTTTGTCGTTCATTCAAATTCAATTGGTCGACGCTGACATTTTAGCAGTAGTACCAACAATTAATTATAGCAGAAAATCATACTCACTGGGCTGCAAAGATTCATCTACGACATGTTGGACAAACTGGAGCACATCTCCAGAACATTCTCCACCAGTTCTGCCCAGGTGTTGTTTCCCTCGTCAACCTCTGTCCCGGATGTAACGCCAAGGGAAACAGCAAATGTCAGCGGGGACGCTGCCAGCAACAGCAACACCACAGTTACTTGCATCTATTGTTCGGAAATTATATATTAAGTGACAGCTCAAGCCCAGCTACAATATAAATAATAAACTAAAACATAAAAGCGCTCAAAAAGCTTAGTCATTAGTGCTGATTTTAAAATGCACAGAATGAATAAATCAAAACACAGGAGAAAAGGGACTAAAAAATCAAGAACTTTCCATTTCTCTCTGAAAATGAAGATAACGTTATTGCTATCAAATATCTTTTCTGCTTCTGGCGTTCCTTTCAGAATGCAGACAAGCTTTTTAATCAAATTTTTGCTTCCTGTTTTTATCACGAAACATGATACACTTCACCCTGGTGACTGTCAGAATTACTCCTTTTTCTCAATGCTTGCAGATAAGATAACTACTTATCAAATAAAAATGTATCTTCTTCTCATACAATTTGTGTATATCAAGTATCCAAAGTTGCTACATATTTCTAAGAATTGAGGAAAACTATTTACTGTAACTTCATTTACATAATGCAAAGTAACACAAGGCTGCATTTGCTAAGAAACAACCAATATTTTATGTAAGATGTTCGGAAACGTTGCCCATTTTTTTTCTATATCATTACCATGATCGTGATCGATCACTATTAAAGTCGATACATGTGTGCTTATAGTTATAATATTAATACGGGGCTAATTTTGCCTATGAGAGCTGGAAATTTGAAATTTAAACCTTACAAGTTACACCTGTTAAGTACTTGTACCCATAATTTAACCAACAGCTGTTTACTATGACTTGAAATTTTCCCACTACCCAGGAGTTTTCAGATTATGGGGCGCTCTCTTATTCTTAATTGTTTTTGATTGTTCGGTACAGAAACGTTTGTTCGCTGGCTCTCCTGAACTTGCTCACATTCAACTTGTTGAGTTTTTTCTTTGTCAAACACGTGAGTTCACTATAAATATATTTTTACGACCATTTAGGTCCATTTACGATAATTTACAACCATTTACAACCATCTGTCCGAAATTTTCTCTTAGAATTTTCTCTTAGAAAAAACAATTATAAGCGCGCGGTTGGTCGGTATTATATCTGTCGTTAGTCTTAAAGGGCATTCATAAACATCTGTTCAGCTCAGGACGAACTTTTCAAAAATCGATTTATCATTGACCACGATGGAGGTAACCGTTTACCGTAAAGCATGTTAAAACAATGCAATCGTTAGGTAGAGCTTTTTCTGTTCGTGAATTATCTGATGAAATATATATGAATTTTTCTATTTGCTCATTCAAATTCCAAGTTAGTCTTTTACAGTTTAAAGGTTTTTATAATTAACTTTATAGTTGGTGAACTATTTTTCAATTCGACGGGAACGGGGAAGGGAAGCTCAAGCATACCAGTTAAACTTAATCTTTGAAACCGTGATATCGACAATTGCGTTGCATTAATTTTCGGTATTCACCTACGGTAACTATTTTATTATCATTTATTGGCTTGAAATTAATTTAAAGCTTTTTAATTTTTATTAATTTATAATTTTCAGAAAATTGCGTCATGACTAACCAGAGCACAGCGTTTTCTAATACTGACGTTCAGAGTACTTTTTTGTATTCGCCTACGGATGAGTTTACCTTACTTTCAACCCACCTGGAGCCCTACCTCATCACCAGCGTACCAAGTATCCTACTCAGCATCATGACCATCACCCTCAACAGCTTCATTATCAACTACTATCGGAAAAGTGAACTCTCTCTAGTCCCCTTTCTCTACACAATGATAGCATCAGCTGATATCCTGACTGCAGTCGGGGTTATACATCAGTCTGTAGCTTTTCCATTGTTCATTAAAGAAGTCATCGGTACAAACTCCATAAATATGCACACAGTTATTTTCTACACGGTCATTCAAATAAGTTACAGATCGTCTGTATTCTACAACTTAGTGCTGGCTGTTTCAAGGACTGTCATGATCTTAAGACCCTTTCTCCAGATTAAGATAGGTGCTGTAAAAGTTGCATGTATCTTGCACATTGTGCCGTGGCTAATCCTAACTGCTTCAGATATACATCAGTTTTATTTTGTTGAAAACGCTTTTGTTATTAGAGTGTATATGGATTTGAATTTGCAAATGGGCGCCAGTATATATTTAAATATGGGCGCCAGAATAATAGGATTTAGGTCGGCAATAGGTTTGCTTTTTCTATCTCTACCTCAGATGATAGCCTTTCTAATACCGGTCTTCATAATCTGTATCACGTGTATTATCCAACTGGTATCACTGCACAGATCAAGTGAGTTTCCAGCCAGCAACAATCAACGTCACGTGACCATTACAATAGTCCTTATGTCAATCCTATTTGTCGTGTGTAACTCTGCCCTCGCTGGATTAGTATTATATAGCATTATCACCGATAATTATGAAGTCTTATATAACTATAGCTACTACTTCTTACCGGTGCTCGGAACTTTGCTGCCAATACTGAACGCAGCACTCAACCCTGTCATCATCATTACGAGAAGTAACGGATTGAGAGTAAAGTTCGTGGAGACAATGCGGCAAATAAAGAGCTTGGTGAGATGGCAAAGGTAAATGGACGATGTTTCAGACAAACCAGGAACTTGAAGAGTGGAAGACGTTTGTGAATGGAGCATTGCTTGGGTTGAACATTTTTATCAGCAATACTCAAATGGACGATTGTTCAGCTGAAAAGTATGCTACGCGAGTGGTGAGCCATTTAAAAAATAACTTCCCTGTTAAAATATGTTGACTGTATAGAGTTTGTAGTTATTACGCTGTATTGATTGATAGTGATATACGATTTCTGTTTTAGAGGACCTATTTCAGCTATATCTCCACAGAAACTGCACATTTAAATTGTCACCTATGAAAATAGTTTTATAACTTGATCTTGCTCTAACCAGAGCCCTCTCGCTAATGCAGTAGCGCGCGACAACAAGCGCGTCACGCAGTATAGTACGCGTAGACTCATGGCTAGGCTAGGTGAAAATACTTGATCAAAACTACTATTGGTATAGCCATAGGCACTGAGTTGACGTGTTGAACGTGGAATCGCGTTTAGGATAAATTTTGAGGAACTTCAACAAAAGCTGCTCACGCTAAATTATGTATTGTGCTTTTCATGACATGTGACACTGATCACAGTAGCACTAGCGTTACAGTAGCGTTATGTTTTTTACATCGTCATTATCTAGTTCAAAATTATTCAAAGAGATTTATATTTTACAGCATACAAATTACAAATGCATATACAAACTCTAAATACAATTTGTATTATTATTCTTTTGTATTACAAAAGATTTTATTTCGATTCATAAAGTTTTGATTCACGATGTCAATCCTTCGCATTTCGCCGATCTATGGTTGCGATAAGCATTATTGGATGCGCGCGCGACCCAATAGTGCATCGCGCTACAATGTCAATTGTACATTATAGTTATACATATTATATTTGATTTAGGACCGGACGCGCAATTGGCAATGATCAATTTCTGTGGAAATATAACATATAAATGAAATAATAAACTGCGCCTTACTTTATATTATACTTAATATTATACTAATTAATAACTTAAGCTTATAAATCAATATTAGTATTTAATAATATTATCAATATCATTAGCTTGCTTGTTTCTCTTCGTTGTACAAGAATTTAGAATTTATAGCTCGAAGTCGAATTAACGGGTGATACTCATAAAATTTATGAGTATCACCCGTTAATTCGACTTCGATATTTTACTAAAATATCTGTTCAATATATTGGACCGTCGACGAGTCCAACTCGGCGCGCGTCCTGGTAGGTTGTAACCTACAACTACAAGAAAGTCCGAAAAGATCGCTGCTGGCTGCGCAAAGCCAAAGCCAAAGCGTTTAATTTGGTCATGTGCCAAGTAAATTTGATCATTGATCACCGCGACCGCACCATAAAATTACTCAGGCTATTATATAATATTTATGTTCATAATCACAAATCATAAATTGTAGGTTTATAACCTACCAGTGACCAGGACGCGCGACGCGAGTATCACCCGCGCCTGTTAAAATCATAAACCGAATCGGAATAGCGAGATTAGGCGGAATGACAGGCTGAGCGAGGCCCGGGGGGGTGGGTAGGGGGTAGTCTAGGCTGGAATTTAAACTGCTCGCCTCCTCTCATGTATGCCATGCGAGAAGCTAGCGAAATTGTAATAAAATTGTATTGGGATTCAGATTGGGCATTGTATTACCATTGGGGTTGGCGTGCCAGGTAATAAAATTACTAATACTTATTTGAACGGACATTGATTGAATGCTGGAAGTCCTTAGCGGTTGCCCAAGCGTTCATTTTAATGCTCGTTCAAATAACAAATAATGTCTGTCCGTTGAAATTTGTCCCCAAAAGTATTCCAAGTTCCATTACACATTACGAAATTTAATTATTGTCAAGGATAATGATTTGTAGCGCGATGCACTATTGACCATTGTTAATGATCTGGCCCGGCGCGCGCTACTTCGTAACTCGTGCCGTCGGCCATTTCGAGAAGGAAAGCGGCGCGCGCTACTTCGAAGAAATTTAGACGAGTACCATCCGTCAAGATGCTCTAAACTAATACTATTACTGGCCGCACCGCGCATTAAATAATCTTCTCGCAATCAAAATAATTTTATCCCGGTAGATCGGACGAGAATGAAAGCAACCAAGCCATGGGCCTCCTGAGCTGCAATGATTGACATCGTGAATCAAATATGAAAATATAATATAATAAATCATAATGATGACTATTGTAGGACTTCGCCGCTTCGCCGCGCCGCGCGAACTAGCATTCTTGCTTCGCATCGTCGATCGTCGATCGTTGCTCTGCTTCGCAGAGCAACGATCTCGATGGGTTGACATCGTCAACCAATGATGACTACTTTTTTATCTCGGTAAATTAATCCAATAATTTCTGGATGATGATTAATCACTCTACACTCGACTGTCACGTGACTTTTTCAACCCGTTCTCTAGTTGTCATACGTTGTATGACCCGCCGCGCACGAAGTGCGCGGCTCCCCCTGTATCGTCAGGACGATAAAACGATAGTGAAATGACCGTGGGGGTCGCAACGTGATACAATTTTCTAGCTGGTCCTGAACGACTATTCGAAACCCTAACCCTCCAATCTGATCCCAACCGTAACCCTAACCCAATTCTTAACAAAAGCAAATGCTGAAACCCTAACTAGGGGGTGCACCATATATAATAAAAATAAACTTGCTCGGATTTTAAAATTTTTTGTACCATTGTTTTCTAGAGACTGTGAGAATTTTCACAATACTAAATTTGTCATACCTTTTTTGAAAAGATCAGTGAGTTTCGCCTAGGTGCCATATTTGATGGTGCGCGGCTTTTGGAGCAAAATTAGCGGTAAATGGTAAAACTCGCGTAATTTGATTCACGATGTCAATCCTTCGCATCTCGCCGATCTGCATACGTGGTTGCGAGAAGCATTATTTGATGCGCGCGCGACCCAGTAGTGCATCGCGCTACAATCGCGTAATTTGACCAAATTTTTGACCATTGTTAATGATCTGGCCCGGCGCGCGCTACTTCGTAGCTCGTGCCATCAGGCCATAACATTTCGAGAAGAAAGCGGCGCGCGTTGTAGCGCGATGCGTTACTGTGCCGCGCCGCGCACTCAATGAGGCTTCTCACATCGACTAGATCGGCGAGATACGCTACTGTGCCGCGCCGAGCTGCCATGAATTGACATTGTCAATTAACAATTAAGGCGCGCGCTACTTCGAAGAAATTTAGACGAGTAACATCCGTCAACCAAATTTGACCAAATTTGTTGATTTTTGTCGTATTATTTGGATATATCTTCAGTTCTTTGAATGAGATCATTTTGAAAATTGGTGGCGAAGACCTTCCAATATATAGGGCTTTCACAACTGTCCGAAAAATTTGGTGGATATCGGAGTTGATATAGTGATCAAAATGGAGCAAAATACGCTGCTTTTAGCTGTAACATAATGTCTGATGGTTGGATATGCTTTAAACTTTTCGGACACTTTCCTTGTAAGTCTATGAGTAAGCTTACCAATTTTTGTTGCAATCGAAGGTGGGGAAGGATACTTAATATCTATTTGTTTGAAGAAAATGGTGCTGGCCGAAATTAGCGCTAAAATGTAAAAAACCATCCTACAGTCGGCACGCGCGGCTCACTGTCGATGGCGCACTACCTACCCTGACCTAACGAGAAACTAGACTAACTTCCTTATTATAGTTACTAGCAGGAACCCGTATAACCCTAAAATAGTGTCAAGATTCAAGAGACTAAAATAATTATTACCTATTAATTCGCGTTTTTGACACCACTTTGGGGTTCAAATTTTGTGCTCTAACATCTAAAACTCCTATTCCTTGGCCAATTTTTTATTTTTTCATGCCGACTTGGAGGCGATTAAAGCATTTGACCCAGTCAAAAAAGTATCAGTTGTATATCTTTTACGGTTTTTGCGGAAAGTTGCGTTAAAGTTGATGCCGTGGTGTCAGTAAAATGGTACGGATAAACACATCCATATATATCGTCTCGCTTTATATATAGTAAGATACGATCATATCACGTGATCGAGACAGTTTTTCGCCAATATCTCGTCAGAGGAGCATTTTAACCCTATGTCATGGGGGGTGATTCGGAATCAGCGTCCGAAAATACATCGATTGATGAAATTGGTTTCAACTGTAGGGGCCCCTTTTAGAACAATCTCGAATATCGACTGTAGAGTGATTTAGCACGCTCGATTATTTCTACCATTGGACTAAATAACTTATATCAACATTTTTAGTTTTAATGTTTAACGACTGCTTTTTGATTCTTCATGTTGCTCACGCCTCACTGTATTCAAAATTGATTGGAAAATTAATATTTGCTAAAATTGAAAATAATTCCCCAAAAGATGCACAAATTTCAAAACGTGGTTTTAAATGCCTTCGATTGTTTATTTTAATCTCCGTTCAAATATAGAGTATGTCCGTTTACGGTCAGCTGAAGTTAAATGAGACCAAAATTGCTTATCGTTACATTTACACGATCATCAGATTTTATGTTTGATGTTTAAGCAGCCATCTAAACTAACCTAAACCATTATATCGGGAGCAGGGTAGAAATGAAATATTTACTTGATGGCGATAAAAATATTAATAAAATGAATTCTGGGAAGAAAGTTTTATCAAGAATATAATCTGAATATTACTTAATTTCAATAATCGAACTAGCATCTGATTCTGTTTATCGAAATGAAATTGTATTAAATTCAAACTGAAAGTCACAATAAAAACAGATAAGTTTAAAAATTGCTTTAATACACTGAAAATAACAACTAAAACTTTCTGCCAAATCAACCAGTTTTGTTATGGTGTTCAAGATAAAAGTCACCCCTCAACGATCTACACCTACGCCGGAATATTTGTGCATAAATATAAAAATGAAGAGATATCTACGTTTTTACAATAACCGTCGTTTCCAGACTCTGACAAAATATTAAAAACAATCCCAGTTCCGCTCAACAAAACATTCAAGCTTCATATCAATGAAATTTAAGCTATCAATGAAATGGCTGTTCCAAATCTTTGAGCTGTATTTTAAGAGTCCAGTCCCCTAATTGATTGAGAATCCCCTCTTATAAACCCATCACAAGTTTTTGTATCCGAACGTTTTAAACATTTTCTGGCACTGAAACTCGACCAGTTTGGCGTGAACTGGGTCCATAACGTTCTTCCAGTTGTCGACTACTTCAGCTGTATTTCTAACAACCTGAACAAAGAAGCTGTTAAGGAGACAACGTACACACAAAAAAAAACCAACTTAAAATACTACATCATATTATTATGTAGACAAATCAGAGACAAAGAATCTACAATATTGACACAGCTTGTGAGCTTGCGGTTTCTGTCTTTTAGGAAACACGAAGCGCAGCGTTTAGATAGTTTGAGCGAATCCCGGCTAATTCTCACTCAGAAACCCGGACAAATCTATAAAAATGGACCTAACAATTAAAACAAACCTCGTATTTTCCCTGTACCACAGCTCCAGTGGAACTAGCTATGATATAATCCTGCACAGATTTAGTGAGCTCCAGTCCGGTGAACTTGTAGAGTAACTTAGCGTACTCAATAGGAGCAGTGGCAATCTGAGTGGTATTATGAGGGGTGTTAGGAAAGATAATATGTATTATCATAACTCACTCATGATTATGAGCTCCACAATTTCTGTGTTCATTGATTGAATGAGTTCTAAGGAAAATAGCCAATTCTCAGCAACCCTTTCCACTTTCCAGTAGTAATTTCACAAATTATACCAACGAAAAGCTGTCCTGAAGCTTTTAGTTGAGTTCTATAGAAGTTTTGCGTTTTTAGCGGTCAGCTTTTCGCTACAGTGTTATTAGGTGGTGGTTTAAATGGAAATTATACTCACATCCTCATATTTGACGACCCTGTAACGATGCTTGAACTCCTCACTGAGTCCAACCTTGAGATTTTGCAAGTAAGTGGAACACATCTCAGCTGCCACTGCTGTTATGTCGTTCTCAGAGAACTTGGCGCTTTTCTCGGAGTTCCCCGTGTGAAGCTCCCCGAATGTGCTCTGCAAAATAACACTTTAGATTTACAGTTTGGTGAGTCTGACACGTGCAAAATGACACTTAGATTTAAAGTTTGGTGAGTCTGACACGTGCAAAATGACACTTTAGATTTAAAGTTTGGTGAGTCTGACACGAAGTTAAACTGCTGCTCGACTGTCTATTTATATAGTCCGACTATACTTTAACTTATACAAAATTACGTGGTAACTCTTCACTCTTCAGCGCAGTCTTAATCAGATTTACAAAATATTTATTATTCCGTCTATTGGAGAGTGTGAATTGAAACTATTTACACGTATCGAATTCAATTATACCCGAAACAAGGCCTAACTCAAAATTCCACTCCAAAACTTAAGGTCATCATGCACAATGGTGCACAATGGTTTTTCCATGGGACCAAGATTAAAAGCAGCTGATAGATTTCACTCCCCTCTATCAGAAACAACTAAACAATTGATTTTGAGAGAATTTTGATAAAGACCCCACCGGCCCCCTTAATGTGATTAGTTACGCAGGATCGAGCTGGACGATGAGAATGACACGTACCACTTTGAGAGTCTACATTCCCCCGGCCCAGCCCCCTTAAGGAATGGGAAGAATTGTGAGATTCCATCCCACTATAGCAGGGTTCCTGTGAGTTATTGAATCAAAGAATTCATATCTAAAATTAACATCTTGGTAACTTACTATTCTAGACTGTACGATAGGTCGTGGATCTCTGACAAGATGGAGAATTTTGTAGTTTTTGCATCCCATTTCAGGTAATTTGGACAACACTGATAGATCAGTGAGTCTGATTACTTTGGCAGATATCATGTCCATGGTTCTGCACATGATTTCCACCGCTCCTGGGTGATTTAGCACGGTTACAGTTGGAACTGCAAAAATATATTTGAACTTATGATACCCGATCGCGATGAAACAGGTACAAACGCTGTCCTCTCAAAACATCTTTCCTCCGAAATGACACCTCATTCGCAGATTTAAGTTATTTAAAAATTACCTCATTACTTCCCTACCTAAATCTTTAGGAGTAGCTGCTTTGAGAGTTGCTTTCAGCTCCGTGCCCCCCGACTTTCTGTAGGGCGGTAACACCTCACCATATTTGTCCAAGTAACCTTGCAACCTCTGGGGAGAAAATATAATTTAACTACATATATAATAATAATGAGGTTATAGATCTTGCAAGGCCAGGCTGAGCGTGAGTTTTTAAAACTATAAGTATATATAATATAGATATCAAGGGTAAGGTATCAGTAGTTTTAATTTTCACCAGTTATTTGCCTTGTCTGCTCCCTACTAAACACTACAACATAATAAGGTTAACAATGATGGCGGTATAGTAAATTGCAATAATAAATTTAAGATTTCCAGGCTTTTAGTAATACTGCAGCGGAAAGTGGGATTATAAATATTTGGCGACAGGCAGACGTATACACCATATTATTTTTATAAAGATCATTAGAACCACCGAATCAACAACAGTCACTGTTAACTAAAGGAGTTGCAGACCTAATTTAGCGAAATTCTTAAACTTAATTTTGTTAAATGTTTACTTCTGCTATAATATAATAACCAATAGTACATAAGTAGAGAGACTTACATGGAGTGACTTGCTCCAAGAAGCTCGTTCCCCCATAGAAGGGTACTTGACGTCATCAAACTGACACTGACACTCGTTACTCAGAATCTGTAGCTTGATATCCGTGTACTCGTCTTCTGTTAGTTTACTAGCGTCCACTACCTGGAAATAGGTAAAGTTTAGACTTTAGATGGACAACATTTGGATCAGGTCACAGTGGGTCTCCTACTTTGCCGGGCAATTTAAATGTCAAATTATTGGATTTAAAGCGTCAGCTTACCCAACCGCTCAAAACTGGGATAGGAATTCATAAATAAAGAGTAAAGACTCACGGAAGAAAAAGCTCTGGCGTCGAGCGGTTCGAAGAAGTCTAGAACATTCTCGTTCTCCTTGAAGAAGCTTTCTAACCAAGTGCTCCCCGACCTGGCCTCCGCTACTATTATCAGGAATGGGACACTCTGATTAGTTGCTGTCAGGTCCTGGAGAGTGGGGTTGGTTAGGACGGCTACACAATTAGTCTATAATCAACAATGTAAAATATGTGGATATTATTAGACAACCGGTTAAAGATCTGTAACATACAATCCCGCAATTTAATCTTTAAAAGTCGCCCTTTGTGAGTATGATGAGAAACCTAATTATAAAGCACGACCTACCTTAGTCATCTCAGCAGAAACTTGGCAACCAGGTCCTTCGTTGTGCACCACCATGCTTACAACAGTACATGAAACGACGAGGAGCGTCATCACCGCCACAACGATGGCCACCTGCTGCCTGGAGTTTGTCGTGGAGAGGAGACGAGACAGCTGCTGCAGCATCATCCCTCCTGACCTCCACCTTATAGTAGACACTGTGATGGTAGGGGTGGGGGACTATACCCAGAGTGGGCGGGTACAGAGCGGGAGTTACTGAGATAGGGAGAGAGAGAGGTTGTGGGGCGAGCTAACTGCTACTTCATATCATCTCTCCCTGCCATCACCTTAACAGGGGGGTTATCGTTACAGGGAGGTTTATCAGCACAAATATATTCAGAATATATTACTAATTAGATTATATTTCAAAATATTATTTACTATCCAAGTCGTATATTTAATTCAAATCAAACAATCTAACGATTTAATTCACAAAGGTTCCCTTTTGCAGAAGATTTAACATTCAAGGGGCGTCACTGGTAATGGCAGCTTGAATTTCAACAGAGCAGAGAAAGTAATCACACGAAAAACCTGGTCTCATCAACAAAACAAGATTACAAATACATGAAATAATGTGAAATAGATCATCGACACAAATAAGAGCAGAGATAAAACGTCTGTCCACAGCACAGACAGAACAAGATTATACAGATCATCGACACAAATAATAAAGCAACCTAAAGATAAAGGTGACACGGCGTGGTGTACACAATGCTCTCTATTACATCAGATGTAAACACATTAGCGGTCAACCAGACAATAACGATGTAGAACTTGTACAATAGGAACTCGAACAGTAGGAACAAGTGATGTTACAAATGACACGTGTACGACGTACGTAGCAACACTACATAAAGAGAGCGTCTTTTATTATTTACACAGCGGCAAAGCCTTAATGGAAAGAAGATTGTTAATCGAATGAAATCGAGTATTCCTGCAAAACTCAATTTGACGAGTAATTCTGATCGGTCATAACTCTGCAATAATACACAGCAGATCGGGAGTAAAACTAATTCCCGTAACTAGGTAACTACCATTCAACTCTGTAGGGAGTGTCTAGAGTTTCCTGTCACAGACCTAACTGAGAAAGGTCGATTACTTAACACGTACCACAAGTCTTCCCCTGTCCTGGTGATTTGTCACGTGATCAGAGATTAAAGGAGGTACTTAAATCTAACTCGTCTGGCAAAAAGAAAAATTACTCTGCGGCACAGTCTCCTCTGTGGCACAGTCTCCCCTGCGGCACAGTCTCCTCTGCGGCACAGTCTCCGTGGTGAGGGATAGTTTTTCAATATTCAATGCCATCTTCTAAAAATCCACATATTGGTACATTCTAGGCTATCCATTATCGGTATGAAATTTTTTATCTAGATAAACAGATAAAGATTTAGGTTTTATCTAGATAAAACCGATAAAACCGATAATTTTTCTGCTGAAGGCCAAAGCCAAAATATTTTCCAAATTTCGCAAAAACTAATTGTCGACTTTTATTACTGTTTACCAGTAATCTTGCTAAAGTACCACTTCCTTTCTTTTGAAAATATTAGAGCATTAGCTTTCTTCTCCGGGGAGCAGAAGTGCACCAGTTTTCTTCAAAACAGTAGACCAACGGTTTTCTTCTCCTAAGAACAGTAGTGTACCAGTTCTCTTCAAAACAGTAGACCAACGGTTTCCTTCTCCTGAGAACAGTAACGCACTATTTCTCCTTAAAACAGTAGACCACCGGTTTCCTTCTCCTGAGAACAGTAGTGCACCAGTTGTCTTCAAAACAGTAGACCAAGGGTTTCCTTCTCCTGAGATTTGAGAACAGTAGTGTACTAGTTATCTTCAAAACAGTAGACCACCGGTTTTCTTCTGAAAACAGTAACGCAATAGTTCTCTTCAAAACAGTAGACCACCGGTTTCCTTCTCCTGAGAACAGTAGTGCACCAGTTGTCTTCAAAACAGTAGACCACCGGTTTCCTTCTCCTGAGAACAGTAGTGCACCAGTTGTCTTTAAAACAGTAGACCAAGGGTTTCCTTCTCCTGAGAACAGTAGTGTACTAGTTCTCTTCAAAACAGTAGACCAACGGTTTCCTTCTCCTGAGATTTGAGAACAGTAGTGTACTAGTTATCTTCAAAACAGTAGACCACCGGTTTTCTTCTGAAAACAGTAACGCAATAGTTCTCTTCAAAACAGTAGACCACCGGTTTCCTTCTCCTGAGAACAGTGGTGCACCAGTTGTCTTCAAAACAGTAGACCAAGGGTTTCCTTCTCCTGAGAACAGTAGTGCACCAAATACCAATTCTCCTCGAAACAGTAAAGCATTTAAAGTGATTCAGTGAACCGTTTTCTTATCCTGTTGATAACTTGGAGCAACAGATTCCTTCTCCTGAAGACAATGTTTCACGCCCAGAACACTTACGAAATTCAATTGAGTGCCCTGCCGGTATTTTTGACTCTTGTTAACAGTAACATGCTCGTTCCCGTCTCCAGAATGGTTGTAAGGTAAAACGCCAGCACCCTCAAGAGAACAATGTCAATAACCTTCTCTAGATTTCTACAGTTCATACAGTTCTACAGTTCCATAGGTATACAAATGTAAATAAACCTCTTAAGCTCACTTCTAAGTAAACTACCTCATCTATCATACTAGAAGACGTTTGGGACTGTTTCTTGGATTACTTGGAAAGGCAAAAACACTAATATTTCTTTACAATTTTACGGTATTGTGGCAGTATTTTCGGTAATATCTAGTGAATTTTTATACCGATAAAAATATGTTTTATCTAGATAAACAGATAACTTTTTTTAACGAATTATCGGAGATAATTATCGGTTACGATTATCGGAGTGGATAGCCTAGTACATTCGATACCGGATATCGCAGAGTAGGCAGACAGTCGGTAAAATGTTTATTTTAAGCAGCATCTCTTTAAACTTTTAAAAGACGCTAGAATATTGTAGCAGCACTTGCCAAATAATATTTACTCACGCCCTAGATCAATGAAATTAACCGGAATCATATATAATTAACCGGAATCATATATATGAGGGATATATAAGCTCTTCTGCTGGAGGAATTTATCCTTAAATCGTCAGGATTTCTTGCAACCATACGTATTACATTTGATGTTTCCATTCTCACGACTTCGTTCTCATTGATCAAAACTTCTCAACTCTGATAGTCTGTCTCAACACATCATCAGGAAACTCATATTCATTTGAACTGACAGGGATTTGGAGTCCCATTTTCCAGGAAGTTCAGTGTCCTCCTCTGAAGCCACCACCTCCTCGACCACCCCTCATTCCTCCTGCACCCCTCATTCCCCCTCCTCCCCTCATTCCACCAGCCCCTCTCATTCCACCGCCTCCTCGCATTCCACCGCCTCCTCGCATACCTCCTCCGCCACGCATTCCTCCACCCCGCATTCCTCCACCACGACCACCACGGCCACCACGTCCGCCTCCTCGTCCTCGTCCACCCCATGATTTGGGGGATTTCGGACGCAGACTCTCAATGTCCTGTCTTTGTGGCAACAGTCTCGATTCTCTGAAGGTATAGGTTATGTTACATGGCGTGGTTAAATCTTACTTTTTATCATAAAAATAAGTTAATAAAGTAAATATAGTTCCCCATAATATCTTCCCATAATATCTAACCTCGATTTGGGAGAAGGCACGTCCATCCAGCCAACCCCATCGATGCCCAATCCCCATGCCCATTTGACCAAAAATTGAGGAATAAATGTGCACAAATATTATCAGTACTCCAGTAGACATAGATATTATCAGTACTCCAGTAGACATAGTCTAGTACATGGTGCCACCGGGTTTTAAAGTTCTAAAATAATTAACTTTAATTTCACGTCGAAAAGATACGCAAATCAAATGAACGTCTAGAAAATCTGCCGCTAGACACCTTAAAATCGACTCGAAATCACAGCAATCTTTTAAAAAAGCAACGGTAAAGCAAGTACTATAATTCTTGTAAGGCTGAGCGTGATTATTTAACGTTATGGTGTTTAGTAGGGAGCATTACGGCTAAGGTACCAAAACCGTAATTGAGTTTCAAGATGGTTACCCTAACTGCTGTAACCTCAAGGAAACAATACTGAGAAATGTGTTTTAAAATGAAAGCACTGTTTGTCACCTTGGTAATTTGAAATTGTTGCTAATCTGTCATAATCTCAAATTTTTCGTCTTAAAAGAAGAGCCGCAAATTCGAGACAAAATAATTAGGTAGGATATGCTTTCAGAAACTAACAATTATGCGGCAGTGGTTGAATTGTTCTATTCCCCAATATCTTATCAAATTACTGACAAATAACAGTGCAGTGGCTGGATTCTCCTTAGTCCTCGAAACATTGTGACCCTGAATCTGTGAATCTGCTTATACAACATGTGGACAATTTTACCTACAATCTGACCCTGAATCTGCCTCTGCTTATACAACATGTGGACAAGTTTCCCTACATTCTGACCCTGAATCTGCCTCTGCTTATACAACATGTGGACAAGTTTCCCTACATTCTGACCCTGAATCTGCCTCTGCTTATACAACATGTGGACAAGTTTCCCTACAATCTGACCCTGAATCTGCCTCTGATTATACAACATGTGGACAAGTTTCCCTACAATCTGACCCTGAATCTGCCTCTGATTATACAACATGTGGACAAGTTTCCCTACATTCTGACCCTGAATCTGCCTCTGCTTATACAACATGTGGACAAGTTTCCCTACAATCTGACCCTGAATCTGCCTCTGATTATACAACATGTGGACAAGTTTCCCTACATTCTGACCCTGAATCTGCCTCTGATTATACAACATGTGGACAAGTTTCCCTACAATCTGACCCTGAATCTGCCTCTGATTATACAACATGTGGACAAGTTTCCCTACAATGAGTTAGAATGCTTGCTTCTACGAATTTGCTCTTCTACGCCCCTACGTTTAATAAAATAGTTGAAGAAGATACTAACTTGAAGTAACTGAGGTACTGGTCAGGATTGTAGTTGCTGGCAGATATCTCTGGTCCTACTGTCACCCAGCCTGCCCTTAAATTAGCATCTGATCCGAACAGGTGTATCCTTCTCCTGCCCAGACAGAACCTGAACCAGAGACGTGTGTCAGAGCTAGACACGTGTGTCAGAGCTAGACACGTGTGTCAGAGCTAGACACGTGTGTCAGAGCTAGACACGTGTGTCAGAGCTAGACACGTGTGTCAGAGCTAGACTTTAGTAACACGTTACAATAAGTTAACATAGTAACCGTCGCGTGGTGACTATGATAAGTATTTTAAA